AATGAAATGATACAGTATCGATATATTGAGCTGCTGTATCGATATATCACAAAGAGTATTCTCTGGTGTATTTTACTACATTATTTTGTTACAGCGCTACAGTTTTGTTGCTTATTCAGAGGAAGGAAACTGATTTATGTGACACATTTGACATTTTTGCTGTTTTAATGATTAAAATGGATGTTTCACATGAACTTTGCACAAGAAGTGGTTTAACAAAGACTTTTGGTGTCAGAGCCATGACTTAGACTTTATTTTTTATTGAACCGTATCGATGTGATTTGAAATATATATCGTATCGAATCGAAAGCTCACTGTATCGAGATATGTATCGTATCGTGGCCTATGTATCGAGGTATGTATCGTATCGGCAACTTAATGATACCCAGCCCTACTATAATGTTGTATCCTTGTTTAAAACATACCTGAAGAAAGTCTGAGTTTTGTTTCATTCACATATGTTTGACACACAAACCCTGCATATTTAGGCAGAACTTTCGACAAACAAAAGATAAAATATAGCAGTTCAAGGTCCACTATGAAACTTTTTGGTTGGGGATATGTCATTGTTCCACAGAATGATTTAAACAGCTCTACTCTGCAAAAACACTAAATCCTAGTCAAGTTAAGATGACTTGAATTAAAAACATTTTTTTGAGGATTTGAGTAAATTTCACTTGACAACTAAATTTTTCTGCCATTGGAACAAGACTTTTTGTACTTAAAATATGAAAATACATCTTGCTGCACTTAAAATAAGAAAGACGACAGCTTTTTGCACTTAAAATAAGAAATTAAATCGGATGTTGCTTGAATTAAAAAAAAAAAACACACTTATTCCATTAGTAGATAATTTTGCTTGTCAAGTTGAATCGACTCAAATAAAGTAAAATGTTCTTAATTAATCTTAATGATTTTAACTTGCCTAGATATTGTTTTTTTTTCCAGTGTACCTTACATTTATTCAATTACAGGTGGTTTTATAGCTCAAAAATACCTAGAAAAAGTGATTCTGACTGTACAGACAGACCTGACCTGTAACTTGATGGTTCAAGATATAAGGTTTAATACCATACTGTGAAACATTCCAGACAAAGCAATGACAGCATTTGAAGGAGCCTCCACCAGAAAAGTTACACAATGCACCTTTAACTTGAAAACTACCGCTTCATGACATCACAAGGTGGCACAGAGCATTATGAGCTTTGGAGATGAAACAAAACACAACTCCAGGTCTGTTTTCGTGGACTTAACAACATTATAACATGCCTTAAAGCTCACAATTTTTTGTAATATAGACCTTTAATGTGAAAATATTACACAGCAGTAGTTTAAAAGCGTTAATATTTCTTTTTACGAACTGTACTGTAACTTAAGTCAATACAAATCCATCCATATCTGAGTCACACATAACCAGCGGATTCTCTGCCAAGGACAAGTGCAATGTCTTTGTGGTCTGTTGCGAGTGACTCAAAAGAACACATCTCCGAAGGTAGGTTAGCACTCTTTTTCTTCTTCTTCTTCCTCCTCCTCCTCCTCCTCCTCCTGCACCTCCAGATCATGCCAAAAGTCCACAAAACAAGCTCAAGTTCGTCTGCTCTGTCGTGCTTCCAAAAAAGGACACAATCCCTCTCTCCGATAACAAGTGTGCTCTCGTGTAACTCTCCCTAAATCAATCTTTTTATATTATTTATACCACTCAAGTAAGAAAGGGTAAACAAGAAATCTGTAAAATGAGGCTGCAAAAAATATATGTCTCAAAAGATATAAGATAATAAAACTAAACATGTTGCATATTGATGCTCTGCAGTGAAGTAACGCTGGGGGTGTTCCACATTTGTCTGTACGGTGGAATGTTCAGCGGTTACCATGGAGACACAACGCACACATCAGCAAACGCAGTCAAAAAACCTCAAAATGGAGTTAAACAGCACATTTTCAGGAGCTGTAGTTCCAGCTAAGTCAGTTCTTTCTGGTCAGATTGTGTTAAAATAATAAATAAAACTTTAAAAAAGTCTAATAAAAAGAGCAGAGCCTACAGTTACCATCAGCTGCAAAGTATAAATATGAGATTTTGTTAAATATTTTCCTTATTAAGCCCACGATTCACCTTGATTTAGTCTGTTTTGTTTCTATTGTTTTTCTTTGACAGAGTTTGACTGAAATAGTAAATAGTGTTGTCACAATACTAAAATTTCAAACTCAATTAACTCAAATTGACTAGATAAAATTGCAAATAAAACATGCATTTTTTGGATATAGAATGTAATATTCATACACAAAAGAACAGTAATTTCTTCTGCTCAAAGTGAGGGCTTATATTTGTTCTGGTAAAGCTCAAAAATGTGTCCTACAGTATGGACACTTCCTCAAATAAGTATCTAGTTTCGATATTAGTTTTAGTGTTGAGTAGTGATTTTCGATACAAAAATGAAGGCATGTACATTTTTGTTTTAATATAAGTGTAATTGTTGTGTCAAAAAATAAATTAAAGAGCACAATAATATAAAAATAGTACAGAACAGTCAAACAGTGCTGAGTCCAAAAGTCGACTAAGGATTTTAAGACTGTAAGGATTTAATGGACCACAACCGAAAGGAGAGTGAGTTTGCCCGAGTTTTGGCAGTGACTGAACTATTTTATCTGCCTTTTCACACGCAGATGCTGTTAATAGTAGCCTACTTGTCAATATACAGAATAGAGTTGTCAAAAGTTGTAAGTAAAAGTAAGTTACTAATCGATAGGGATGGTACAAGATCCTGTGCCACAAGATTTCATGAGACAAAATTGCCACCAGATCATGCACACATTTTTTTTGGTTTTGTTTTGTTTTACATTTGGATTCAACAAAAAAGGGTTAAGTATCAGCGAGTTACATCTCTTACCGTTCCAAAAAGTATTAGAAAGAAAACAACAATAAGAAATCAAAGAAATAAAAAATTGTGAGGCCAAAACTGGAAACTGAATTGTGCAACTTATATATTAGGAGTTATGTTAAAATCTCGTCTTGTTTCGTTGTCGTAGACACAATTTCGCATCTCGTCTCATCTTGTGGAAATTATCTCATTCCATCCCAACTAATCAATACTAAAACTAGTATTGAAACTAGATTCTCATTTGCGCAAGAACTGATACCACAAAGAACACATTCACAGGACAGAAACGAACCTTTCCAAAAACCTCACAGGCCACATAGATGTAGAAGGTAAAATAGTCACATTCAAATGGTAAACGGTCGCATTTATACAGCGCTTTTCTGACTTCAAGGCGCTCAAAGCACTTTACATCAAGGAACCGCTCACTCTTTCACACACATTCATTCACACCTCCAGTGTACAAAGACACAGAGGTGAGGGGGCTAAAGTTGACAAATTGTTGCAGTTTTCAGTCGGTACAGATCACGTTTTCACCGCATTTCACCTCAAACGAACCAAGAGAAGATAGAAAATACCCCTCTGAAGTGCCTCTGCATCGCAAATAGTGCAGGAAACAACAACAAAGGTGCAAACACGCTTGATCAGAGGAAAGTCCCTACCCGATCGAATTAATTCCTCCTCACTATGTCTTGTTTTGGTTTCTTAGTTTGCTCATTCTCAGGCTTGTTTAGATCAAAAAGTGTGAGTTGGGCTGAATCGAGGCCGTTTAGTGTTCATATCACAAAGGAACTGCACTGGAGTCTGCTCAGAACCGCACCAAATCAAAGTCCGAACGAGCCAAACTCAGGTGTTCCGATCTCGAGTCCGCTTAATGGTGTGAAAGCCCCCCATGTGTCTTGCCTAAGGACACAACAACAGTGGATATGACTGCTCTATCTTGGATGTTTAAGTTGAGAGCAGGATTCGCCGACCTTCACATCAGAAGTTAAAAAGTACTACGACCATTTACTGTGTGTTTTTCATTATCATCACGGTATCGGAATCGGAATTGAGCATCAGGTCTGTTCTTTAGTATCGGGTGACCAGACGTCCTTATTTACCCGAACAGTCCCAGTTTTGAGCCCTGTATCCCCTGTCCCTGCAGATTTATCCAAAACCAGTGATTTGTCCAGGTTTTATACAAGAAATGTCCCTATTTTGGACCAATCTGATCCCACCAACAGTAAAGAGAGGCATACATTGTCATACGTTTAGATAAAATACAAAAAAGCTGCTTAAAAATGACAAAAACATAAAGAAAATGTGACTATACTGATTCACATCAGTGCCGAGTGCAGAACAATTTTCCTTAATTCCGCGCTCGTTTCACAATTTTATTATTACAAACTATCAAACCAGGAATGTCCCAGTATCTTATTTTGAAAGTCTGATCTCCCTACTCTAGCACCGAAATCGAGTTTGAAATTTTAGTATCGTGAAAACAATACATAGTAGTTTCCACATATGCCACATCACGCCTCCTTTTGTCATTTAATCGTTGCATAGCACATGTCTTTAGTCGACCAAGAATGTATTTAGTCGACTACAGCTCTACAATTTATGTTGAGGCAAAGTAACACCATAATAACGAATCAAACTGAGATGTATAACTAAATATCATTTATCTTAGTCTGTGTTCTGGCCCGTGTCTGTGTTCCCTGCACAGACTTGTGAAGATGCGTTTAACCTGGCGCTAACATGACAGCTCCCGCCCCTCTCCACACATCCACAAATAATCAAATAAATGGGGATCCCTCATACGTAGTAGCGCCGATCCCCCAGACCCGAGCAGCCCGAGCAGCCCCACTGTTACCCACACCGTAGTGACACCTTTCCCCGCAGGAATGTCACATCTGAGCGCCAAAGCTGTAGGCGTTGACCGCTGACACTGTTTATAAACACGGCCGGAGGAGCTAGCGGTCCCGTTAGCCACATTAGCCCGGTGCGCGGGCTAAAGCTAACCGTACTACGGCGTCTTTGTGCGGGTGCGTACGTGAAGAGAGCGCGGCCCCGCGTGCACCACACGGACACAGCGACCAGACACACGCGGATCAGAGCAGTAAAAGACAGAGGAAAAGAATTCACCTTCCAAGAGCCGAGAGATGAGGCTGTCCACGTTCAGTTCGCCCTCCGCCATCTTCACACTGATGGAGCTGAGCAGAGGGAGTGGGCGCTGTGCGGCGGCAGAGGGCGCTGTTTCTCACTGCTGCGACTTTCTCACCTGTTTGTCTTTTTTCAAAACCAAGGTCAGATTTATGATGAAATGAAGCTTTTTTGGTATTAAACTAAATGTACGTAAGATTTTCTCTTTAAACTCCATAAATCTGTATCCCCAGGTATAAAGTAAACTTGTTCAAATCAAATAGACCTCAGCCTGTAGTTTTTACTGACCAATTATGATGCTGATTTATTTTTAATTATGAAGACATTGTACAAGATGTTGTTTTGATGATTTGATTTTAAAATGTTCATGTTAAGTTGCTCTACATGATCCTGGTGTTTTTATTTTGATATTTTGTTTGTAAATAAATTCCTATTCCTAATGTGGAGCTTGGCTCCAAATTCTCCATTTCCATCCTCAATGAGCTTCATTTGACTGGAGTCGAACACTATGTGTGAGATCACTCTCCCTTAGTCCACTTCTTTATATATATTTACTGTAAGAGTGCAAGCTACATACAGTTCCTTTAATAAAGCTGCCTATACCATATACTGTATGATGAAAAATATTATGAATGCAATTAACACAGAAGCAAAATGATAGTTGGAACACTTTTTTTTATTATAAGTTATACCATTTCTTCTTCTTTTCATTTACAGGTTAATGTAACATTATTATTATGTATTAATCTAAAATTAATGAAGCAAAAATGAAAACTATATAAAAAGTGACACGATTTTATACACTTTCATCCACATAAAACAAATGAATGGTGAGATGTCTCTATTCTCCTCGTCATTTATCTGAACTGTATAGTGATAGTCATGGACCTTATACTTCCATAGTAATAGTTCACTGTTAGGTTACATCATTGCACAACTGTTACTGTAATCTGTCTCAGAACAGAAACAAATCCAATGTTCACAGCATGATTAATCAGTACAGTGTCATATATTAAAAAACAATTGAAGGACATTTGTTTTCAATACACAAGACAAGTGCAACAAAATAAGTTAGTATAAATAATAGCCTATTATAAACTATACAGGCAGAAAAATAATTATACATTGAGAGATAAGGCTTACAAAACTTTACAAAAACGTGTGGGTTTGAAGCTGTATTCTGTCTCTACAATTCCAGAGATTAACCAAGAAACCAGAAAGACACCAGAAAGATGCATACTCTGTTCAGGTTAAAAAAAAAACAAAAAAACTCAAAAAACAAGGCGGCTTATGAGTAAAAAACTGAGGACTTAAAAAAAGGACTGAGAAACAGTGTGGACTTCTGCAGAATCAGCTATGAAAGCAGCACCAAACTGTTATTTATCTCAGGAAAAGAAGATATATATTTTGTTTTGAATCATACGACAATCTTCAAGAGGAGACGTCTTCTGCATTTGAGAGACATGTGCTACAAATCAGCGGCGGTTCCAGACCCTTCTGGATTCAAACTGAAGGTAGAAGGGACTGGGTGTTTAGGCAAGAATGTGGCATTGATACAAAGCTGTTAAACCAGCTATAGCTGCATAAGTGCACATATTACTTTGTAATACAATTAGTCATCTAGTACAACTGTTTCCATTACAGTCTTTAGAACATAGTGTTATTCATCTGCACTTTGTTCCTACTGGATCTGCGGGTGAAGTAGAGCCATGTGGCAGCACAGCCTATGATCAGTCCAGCTATAGCCAGCACAGGGGAGAGCCACACGGGGACAGTGTCCACGCACTCAGGGGCCACAGGGGGGACGTGGGTTGTGGCGGGGGGGAGGGTGGTGGGCTCAGAGGGCAGGCTGTTGACTTTAGTGAAGATGTATGGATGATCCTGAAAGACAATATGCACCAGTCATCAGATATCCACCAAACACAATAATACTGTACTGCCTCCATCTTAAAGGTCCTACATTACACAAAATGGATTCTTGTGAGCTTTAATCCATGTTAAAATGCTGTTACCTCATCGAACACAAACCCACCATTGTGTTTTGTTTCATTCACACACTTGTTCTACCTTGTGACGTCATGAAGTAATACTTTTCAAGTCCACAGCTACTTTTTACCTGTAGTTCAGTCGAGACGAGCAAATCTTCCAAATGATTCTATGGTGTATGGAGTTTAAAAACACAGTGGAGCACTTCCTGTATTACCACACGACATCACAAAATGGAGCAGAGTGTTTTCTGTTTGAGAGAAGAACCTAAATATTCAGGGTTTATGTGTTAAATATTTGTATGAATCAAACAAAACAAAACTCCACGTCGGTTTGTGATGAGGAAACAACATTAGAACATAGATCAGAACATATCATAGCGTAATATACTGTAGGCCCTTTAAGGACACGATCACATTCTCAAATCTGAAGACATGCTAAACAGAGCTGGCACCACACTGTCTTCTGTCTTACCTTAGTGGGGCACTTTATGTCATTTCTGGCGTCTGAGAAATTGTTGTACGTCTGCTTCTTCCCCACAGGCTCCAGCTGAAATATAAACATATGCAACATGGTAGTTAAAGGTTTAAGAGACGCAAAAGGGTATTTCCCACTGAACAGCATCGGGATGACAGCGACACAAAAATGTACAGTCTCAACGTAAAGAATGCATTTAGAGATCTACCAGTGTTAGAACGCTTTGAGTCCTGTGGTGTGAGGATTTAGCTTCGTTTTAGTTAGAACTGAACTCACGTGTCAGTCTACTTCACATTTCTTTACTTATTTTTTCTTCACTAAAACTTTGTTGCCCTTGTAAATCTGAAAAGACATACTGTGTGTGATGTATTTTTTTATAATCTGCTAGTACTGCTAACTGTAAGAAGAAAAACTGCTTCAGGCAACATAAAAAGATCAAAAAGTTAATTTTACATAAACCCTCTCTTTGATAAATCCAAACTTTAATGGTCATGGTGTAACTTAATGGTGTAACTTTTCTGGTGGAGGGGCCGTCAAATGTGAGCAAAAATGTCCATGGAGATGTTATTACTTTATCTGGAATGTTTCACAGTATGGCATTAAACGTTTCTATCTTCATGGAGACCAAACCTGACCACGTTACAGGTCAGATCTGTGGAGAGACGGTCCCACTCACAGTCAGAATGTTGTTTTTCTAAGTATTTTTGAGCTATAAAACCACCTGTAATTCAATAAATGTAAGGTCAAGCTGTTTAATATCACACTGTGGAATATTCCAGGCAGAGCAATGACATCTTCATAGAAACAAGCAGGTGATGGATCCTCTACCAGAAAAGTTACACAGTCCACCTTTAACGGCTAATGTTATTGGATGGTTCAAATGCTTGTTCTAAGCCATTTTTGTATATTTGTACAGAGATTTGATGCAAATAAGGACAAGGTTTTATCAGTTACTCATTGTCAATTGCAGACAGCTGCATCTGATGTGAGTCATCTGATTTCTTTCTGATCGTTCTCACCTGTGCATGTTTTGACAAAGAAAATTATGCAAAAAAAAAAACATCTCTATTTTTTTTTACTACTTTCTATAAACTGAAAACAGGTACGTTCCACTCCTGTCCTTTGCTGCATTCTCTTGTACTCGGGAACCGGGGAAAACAGAGCTCCATCTCGAGAAAGCGCAATGCAACAGCCAATCAAATCGGAGGCCCAAAACACAAACTCAGGCTAGTTTGGCCCAGACCGTTAGATTTATGTTACAGCAAAAATGGCAGCGCAAGAATTGTCTTTTCATCATTTTGGATTGTTAAGTTGTGTATGTGTAGAGAAAGTGTCTTCTAAAAACTTTGTAGTGATATTTAGACTTTCTTTCACATCATTTGACAGTAGACACAAGTTTTTTTTGGAACATGTAATCGTCAAACTGCCATAATTGAATCGCAGACAGCTAAAGTGCTAGCGATACTTGAACTGTGTCGGACATCCTTATTTCCCCAGCTGTTTCAGCATTAGTCCTTACCATGTTGTTCCACAGAGCGGTGGCCATGCTGGAATGTCCACGCACGCTAAAGTGGAAGCAGTCCTCAGAGAAGTATGTGGTATCAGGGATGCCCTCCTGAAACAAAGACCAGAGCGTGAGAGAACATAGATCAGAAACGTTTTTCAAAAACGCTGAACGCCCTCCATCTCAAATGATGACATCATCAAATTGTAGATTGCGAATACGACATGTTACAAGTGTCAGACAGTGAGTGCAGGAGGCTTACAGCGCTCAGAGGAACTATGGAGTTTTTGAAAAAAGGCTGAACCACCACTGCAAAATCCTCCTTGCCGTCATAGCGTTCGCTGTACACAAGCTTCTCAGTCTCAACCTAAGGAAAACAAAACAAGATTTTAGTAATAGTCCTGATCTTTAAAGTCATCTGTGTATCCTGTGTTATAGAGTGTACTGCATCCTCTGTGTTATAATGTACTGTGTCCTGTGTTATAGAGTGTACCGTATTTTCCGGGCTATTAGACGCGCTCTTAAGCCTCTAACCCTGTCAAAAATGACCACGCACCCTGCAATCCAGAGCGCTCTATACACGAATCCACTCGGATGTCCCAGCACGACTTTAGTTAACTAAAAAGCCGCACCACCCGCAGCGCACGCAAACACACACGGAGCAGACAGCGACCGCGCAGCAAAAAACACCCACAGCCACACTCATCACTCCACGCCGACGAGGAACGGAACAAAGGAATGAACCAAAAAAGCGAGTGCAATGTGAAACTTCTAGACACAAATGAACAACTGAGTCACTGAGTCACTGCGAACACGCGAACAATCCAGCGGTCCCAGACAGCACCCTCCCTACACGCCACAACTGAACAAAGCCCAGAGTCACTGTGAACGTGCCAAAGTCCCACTGACCCATCGAACTGTTGTGTTTCATTTAATGTCCGGTGCGGTTTATTTGTGAAAAACATTTGAAAATAGACCATTTAATGACAGTGTGTCTTATAATCCAGAGCATCTAATAGCCCAGAAAATACGGTACTGTATCCTGTGCATTATTGTGTGTACAGTCCTTGTGTCTGTCACACACCTGCAGCTCTTGGTTCACACGTTTGATTTCCGACAGTTCTGGAGAGTCGTCACTTGGAGCCACGACGCACGTGCACATAAACCTGAGGAGAAAGAACATGAAAAAATCACACATTATTGGGGAAATCTCAAGTAGTGACTCTGCGATTCGAGGAGCGCCCACTAACCAGAATGCAGTTGTTGTGCCCTTGGGCTTGACACTTCACCCACCTTGTTTATGCATGAATGTGGTTTGAGTGAGAAGTAGCTTACCACCACTGAATGAATAATGCAATGAACTGACTCTGAGCATCAAAATTCGCAATTCAAGAAACAAATCTGACTTCTGGGGTAAAAGTAACTTGCATTTATCAAACGGAAACTATTTCTTCACTCTAGTGTTTACTGTTTTTGTTTTCATACACACTGTTTATTGAAAAATCATTTACAGTTTTATCTGATGGGACTCATGTGATTTCTTTGTGATTGACTGTTCAGAATCACAAAGACAAAAGCAAGAACAAAACAAGTGTTAATTAATAATCAGATCATCTTATTTCTTGGACACTCACTGTTGTACCACACTGCAGCCAAAACTGTCCCTCTTCACTCTGCGGAGGCCCTCAATCTGAAGGATTTCCGGCACATTCACCAGGAGCCTGGGCACCTGAACAGAAACAGAAACAGAAACAGCGTTGTAAGAAAATGCCAATCACACTACAGCAGTACAGCAGCAAACTCCTATAGTGTTTGGTCTTACCTCATTGAAAAGAAGGTCCAGGGTCTCCATCATGTGCTGACTGTAGTTCTGAGATGACAATGCAGCCTGGGGAGAACAAATAAAATCATGGTTTACAATTTTGGAAACTACGGAAACTAGTTCCCGATCCAAAGAAAAAACTTCAAACACTGACAATAGATATCTAATCTGAAATAATCTGTTATCAATATATAAAAATAAGAATGTATATAAAAATGGTTTTGGTTCATTCCGTTCCAAAGTTAAGCACTTCAAACTGACAATAGATATCTACTCCAATATCTGTTCAATATATAAAAAGATGTGTAGAGCTTGGTTTGTAAGGCCGTTCCATTACATTCAAGGTTTACTGTATTCAGGGTTCCCACTCTTTTCACTGACAAAATTTCAAAACTTTTCCATGACTTTTTCATGACCTACAGTGAATTTTCCATGACTTTACAGCACCTACATGTATAGAATTGATCAGACTTTTAGGGCTAAATATGAAATGTTAACCCTTTCCACTGACCTTATGGTTTGATATTATAGGTTTTAACATTCAAAATACTGTCAATTAGAGATGTAACAATATCGAAATCTCACAGTACGATATTTTTGCGATATACATTTATATATATTTATTGCAATATTTTGTGGAGGTTAACAAAATTGTGAATTTGCTATGGTACTTTTTCCTCTTAAAAAGCCTTGACCAGACTTAATTCAAAGAACTAAGACTTAAAAGTGCTTAGAACTGTTATTTCTTCATGTAGTTTGCACCAAAACAGAGCAAAGGATCATGATCTATGGAGTTCCCTCTGTTTTTTTAGCTACTGCTGCATGATAACAATTAATTTAAGTGAAGAAACTTGTGATTTGATATATTGTGATGGTCCACGATATTATTAAGACTTGACGATACAATATCATGATATTCTGGTTATTGTTACATCCCCCCCAATGCATTTATTGTCATCTCAAAAGATGCGTTCAGAAATAATCATAAAAGCCTAATGATAACTTAACAGAATGCTGTAGTTGTGTGAAAGAGATACTAAAATTCCATGACTTTTCCAAAACTTTCATTGAATTTACAAAATTCCATGACTTTTCCAGGCCTGGAACATTACATTTTCATTTTCTATGACTTTTCTAGGATTTCCATGACTGCAGGAACCCTGTATATCTACTCCAATATCTGTTCAATATCTAAAACAAGGTTTGTGAGGCGATTCTCAATTCTAAATGCTAAAAAAATGCTTTCATATGTGGTAGAGATTTCCATTACATTCAAGTTTTACTGTATTTAAAATGTCATAAACATTACTTGTCTGTTTCTCCAAATTAAAGTTGTAATGTTGATTTATTCTTCATTACAAAAACATTGGACAGTTGTTTATAATGTTTAGAATTAGTTATTTTGGTTCTCAAGATAATTATCCAATCAGCAAGCAGAACGAGTCTCACATTTTGGGTTGCTAGATGCCACTTGTAAAATGAAAAATGAAAAAACAACTTTCTGATCTGAGCGGTCACTACCTAAACCCCCAGCCCTTCAGCCAATCCTGAATCAGAGACCTTTAATCAGAGCAAAAAAATATCGTGTTTTGTTTTAAATCGTAAAATCATAATCCTGAAATCCTGAGGTTAAGACACAGGCAACTCGGGTTCAGTTTTGACCGTAGCTTTTAACCCAGTACGCGCACAAGCTCCACACCCTAGCACCTTCAAAACATCTATTGAAGTTCTCAACAATTGAAACCCACATGGTCCCAGTGACATTATTGTTGTGATTTTGTTGTGAATGAGTGGTTTGTATTATTCTCCTCGTAGCACAAAGCCCGCGTCTGTGGTGGAGGAAGTGGGCTTTTGAAGTGACAGAGCGCTCATTCACATTTCACTGGAACAATCAAACAAACAGGAGGAGGACTCTCCACAGAGCTGCCGGCTATAGGACAGAGATATTACAACAACAACACGGCGCAGAGCTACAGATCCCACTCGCCATTATGGGCTGTTACGTAACTCACATATTAGAGTTATCATGTATTCACAACTTACATATTCTCTTCAAAACTACTGTAAACTAACAAGAGGGAAGTTAATATAATAGAACCTTATCTGGCTGAGAACAGCAGCAGTATGTTTGGAGATATTGTAAGTAAACAGAATGCTTAGAGGAAACAAATGTAAGATTTTGATTTAAAAATTCATAAATGTGTCCCAACTGTGTACCCAGATATGAGGTAAATGTCAAATCAAATACATCTTTTACTGATAACAACTGGCTGGGAATCATTAAGAAGTTGCCGATACGATGCATACCTTGATGCATAAGCCACGATATGATACGTATCTCGAAACAATGTACTTTTGGTTCAATACGGTACATTTCAAATCGATTCAATACGGATCAATAAAAATACTGTATGTTTCGGACTATAAAGCGCACTTCAAATCCTTTAATTTTCTCAAAAATGGACAGTGCGCCTTATAATCCAGTGCAGTTTATGTATTAATTCTCGTTGTGCTTACTGACTTGAACTGATTTTATGTAGTATACGGTGCTCAAAAATCTGTCAAAATGTTTTAGTACGACTTTGGTAAACTATGAAGCTGCACCGCTCGATGGATTATCGGAGCATTATGGCCTGGGCTCAGTTATTGTGAATGAGTTGAATAAAGTTAGACTTATCTGACTGTTTTTGTTTCACTTAATGCGCCTTATAATCCGGTGCGCTTTATGTATCAAAATAGCCAAGAGAATTCAACATTATTGATGTTGTGCCTTATAATCTGGTGTACTTTATAGTCTGAAAAATACAGTAATGGCTAAACCATGACTGTGATACTAAATCTTTCTTAAACCACTTCTTATTCAAAGTTAATATGAAAAACACACACATTTTAATCATCAAAACAGTGAAATGTCAAATAACTGAGTAAAATATACAAAAAAATACTCTTGGTGATATATCGATACAGCAGCTCATGATATTGAGAATGTATCATCACATGAAACGATACAATATATATTGATATCTGCAGCTCAGTGAGGGAATTCTGGAGGTTCTGAGCTTTCACACGAGGCCTGGTCTGTCCCTAAACTGAGAATGAGACAAACTTGGATGTGTCTCTGTCTGCAGGTTAAGGCTCTGGCATCACAGGTTCAGTTGTGACTGTAGTTCCTTTTAAAAACTGTGCAGGATATGTTCAGTTCCTCTAAAAATGCATAACTTTTCTGGTGTGGGGGTCATCACTATGGAGATGTTTTTGCTCTCCTGTAATGTTTGACACTATACATCTATTCAGTTATAGGTACATATAGTTAGGTGGGATCTCCTTTCCATAGATCTGACCTGTAATTTGACCCTTGACTAGACGCACTGCTCTGTTTTAAGCTCAGTTACTTAAGTTAGACTTTAATTTGAGCTTTGTTTGAACACAGTCTGACTAGAAAGAGTGGATTAACAGGTCATCTGCTTAACAAGTCTCTCAAATAATATTACATTCACAAGCAAGCTAACAGTTTTTCGGTCGCTCTCACCTTTTTGTTGAAAATCAAACAAGTAAATGGGACCATGAAAACTCGTATTGATCACCAGCTCCCAAAAATGTGTTGCTAAAATAAATTCTTGTATTTTCAACTGAGTTTCCAGACAATCTAAAACTCTATTTGACCGCGTTTTCAAATGTGTGCACGGATGAACGTTCAACCATAGACATACATGCAGAACCCCCCGGCCTGATGTCACAGGAGGACATACTCACTCTGTCATTGCAGTAGCCGCACAGGTCGTTGCCTCCGATAAACAGGGTGATCAGCTTCCAGTCGTTCTCAAAGTCCACAGCCTACAGGAAATACAACATCAGATACTCATTACTGTCATTTTGATTTTTGTAAAGTATATTTTTATTTGATGATATTTCAAACCTACAGGATCACTTTTCATGGCATCAATGAGGCGCCTGGCTTGAGCTGGGACGTCCCTGTATGAAAGCAGAAAGTTTATTAGGTCATATGACAGATTTTCATGTTTTTTTTTAGATTATGACTTGGTTTGGTAGGACGTGTGTTCAATATTTATCATAGTTTTACATTCTCAGATACTTTTCTCCATGGAGGTGTCATTGTTTTGTCTGGAATGTTTCACAGTAAGGCATTAAACCTTTCTATTTTCAAGGAGACCCAGCCAGACCAAGTTACAGGGCAGATCTGTGGAGAGGCGACCCTGCTCACAGTCAGAATGTTGGTTTTCTAGGTATTTCTGAGCTATAAAACCACCTGTAATTAAGACTGTTTTTTAAATTGATATAAAGTATATTTATTTTATTCTTAAATGTAGAGATTGTAGAACAGCTGGTTATATAGTTTATTTTGGATACATTTATGTTTTTCTATGTCTTATTTAATGTTCAAAGTATATTTTATTCATTTTATGTTTTATACATCACAAAACTGTTCTAAGATTCATATTTGCAGCCTATATTTATTTTCAATTTGAAAATTTTGCATAAATTATCAATAACAAAGTGGGTTTTTTTGAGAAAGAAATGCTGAATAAAAGCATCATGTAACTAAAAAATAATCACTTGAATAATTGTGATTTCAAAATTGACCAAAATAAGTGATAATGATTTTTTCCATAATTGTGCAGCCCTGCCTGTAATTGAATAAATGTAAAGTAGAGCTGTTTAATGTCACACTGTGGAACATTCCAGGCAGAGAAATGAAATATATCCATCCAAATATTGATAGAGACAAGCACGTGATGGACCATCCACCAGAAAAGTTACACAGTGCACATTTAAGTGGCAGTTTGTGGAGAAAATAAGTGACTAAAAGTACAAAACTACTGGAAGTAGCATTGCATTCTAAAACTGAATTCCTCTACCTGTGTCATCAACACCGAAAATTCCATCAAATATGAAAATAAAGGCGTTGCCATTTATTTTTATTAGTGTAATCATAACATTTTGTGCAGTTTAGGCCCTTGTTTACGTTACGTTGAGAATTGAATTGTGTAACATTTACTCAGATACATTTAATTGAGTAACTTTTTAAAGAAATTGTACTATTTCGGTTTCTAGCAGCATACTTTTACTCCTACTTGAGGGTTTGGTTTTTTTTGTGAGTAAATCTAAAGTGTTGAAGTGACAATATGAAATGATTTGTGAAACATCTGTGTTTCTTGCAGCTCTTTCAGATAAGATTTAGTTTGTCTTATGTTGTGTTTGTGTCTGTCCTTTTTGTGCATTATTTTTTATTTTTTTTTGTTTTTGTTTTGTCAAATTACATGAACTTACATCCCAACAGTTACTCTTTAAGTTACTCTTACTCGAGTAATACTTTCCCAAAACTGATTAACACTTATTCAGTGCTTGTACCACTACTTTGTACTTCAACTTAAGCAATATTATTTTGAAGTAACAGCACTCTTACTTGAGTACAGTCAAACCTGCTGCCCCCATGTCCAACCAAAAAGTAAAATTTAAAAATAAAAATAACGAAAAAATGTAAATATTTTAGTAAACTCTTAAATTGAAGTATGTCTAATCTAAAATCTAACCTGTAATATGCATTTTAATTCTATTTCTAAACACAAAACAACCAAAATAGTGAATATAATATAAAAGGTGACACATGCTTACGCTATTTTGGCTCCAGACACAGCCATGTTGAATTTGTTCTGCACTAGGTTCCCCTCTCCTGTGGACATGCCGATCAGGCCAGGGTTGAACTTTCTGAGGATGTCTGAAACAACATAAAAAATTAGTGCAGCAACAGTGCCATCTAGTGGGAGGTTTGTGAATTTGAGTCTAAAAAAGAAACGTACTTGGTAAAGTTGTGACGGTCTCCAGAGATTTCATCACCTCCGATGCTGAAAAAACAACAACACGGTTTTAAATATTTTGATTTTGAGTACAGTGATTCATGAATAAATATAATAGATCACAACAGGAGACAGTCTAAATCAGGATTAAACCAGATCTAAACCTGGACTAAAGAATGTCTAAATCATGACTTAATCAGGTTTAAAGAAGGTCTAAATCAGGACTAAACTGAATCTAAACCTGGACTAAAGAAGATTTAAATCAGGACTAAACCAGATCTAAACCAGGACTAAAGAATGTCTAAATCAAAACTAAACCAGATCTAAACCAGGATTAAAGAAGGTCTAAATCAGGACTAAACCAGATTTAAACCTGGACTAAAGAAGGTCTAAATCAGGACTAAACCAGATTTAAACCTGGACTAAAGAAGGTCTAAATCAGGACTAAACCAGATTTAAACCTGGACTAAAGAAGGTCTAAATCAGGACTAAACCAGATTTAAACCTGGACTAAAGAAGGTCTAAATCAGGATTAAATTTGATCTAAAGAAGGTCTAAATCAGGACTAAACCAGATCTAAACCTAAACCAGGACTAAAGACTATGTAAATCAGGACTAAACCAGATTTAAACCTGGACTAAAGAAGGTCTAAATCAGGATTAAATTTGATCTAAAGAAGGTCTAAATCAGGACTAAACCAGATCTAAACCTGGACTAAAGAAGGTCTAAATCAGGATTAAATTTGATCTAAAGGACTAAATCAGGACTAAACCAGATTAAACCTGGACTAAAGAAGGTCTAAATCAGGACTAAACCAGATTTAAACCTGGACTAAAGAAGGTCTAAATCAGGATTAAATTTGATCTAAAGAAGGTCTAAATCAGGACTAAACCAGATCTAAACCAGGATTAAAGAAGGTCTAAATCAGGACTAAACCAGATTTAAACCTGGACTAAAGAAGGTCTAAATCAGGACTAAACCAGATTTAAACCTGGACTAAAGAAGGTCTAAATCAGGATTAAATTTGATCTAAAGAAGGTCTAAATCAGGACTAAACCAGATTTAAACCTGGACTAAAGAAGGTCTAAATCAGGACTAAACCAGATCTAAACCTGGACTAAAGAATATGTAAATCAGGACTAAACCAGATTTAAACCTGGACTAAAGAAGGTCTAAATCAGGATTAAATTTGATCTAAAGAAGGTCTAAATCAGGACTAAACCAGATTTAAACCTGGACTAAAGAAGGTCTAAATCAGGACTAAACCAGATCTAAACCAGGATTAAAGAAGGTCTAAATCAGGACTAAACCAGATCTAAACCTGGACTAAAGAATATGTAAATCAGGACTAAACCAGATTTAAACCTGGACTAAAGAAGGTCTAAATCAGGACTAAACCAGATCTAAACCAGGATTAAAGAAGGTCTAAATCAGGACTAAACCAGATTTAAACCTGGACTAAAGAAGGTCTAAATCAGGACTAAACCAGATTTAAACCTGGACTAAAGAAGGTCTAAATCAGGACTAAACCAGATTTAAACCTGGACTAAAGAAGGTCTAAATCAGGACTAAACCAGATCTAAACCTGGACTAAAGAATATGTAAATCAGGACTAAACCAGATTTAAACCTGGACTAAAGAAGGTCTAAATCAGGATTAAATTTGATCTAAAGAAGGTCTAAATCAGGACTAAACCAGATCTAAACCAGGACTAAAGAAGTTCTAATTCAGGATTAAACCAGATATAAACCTGGACTAAAGAAAACCTAAATCAGGGCTCAACCAGATTTAAACCTGGACTAAACCAGATATAAATTTGATCTAAACCTGAACTAAACAAGTTCTATGACACAGCTTAAACACGGACTAAATTAACTAAATAAGTAAAGTCAAAGAAAATTTAAAAAACAGAGTACAAAACAACGGGAAAACCTGGAGTAAGGGTGCATTCCCACTTGCACAATGGCTACATCAAAACTGGGATAAAACTGGGACTAACCCAGGACTGGAAAAGGACCAAACCCCAATCAAACAGGGACCAAACCAGGACCGTAAAAATCCTGGGCAGATCTAAATCAGGACTAAAACCAGACTAAATTAGATCCAAACCTGAATTAAACAAGGACTATGCATGGACTAAACAAGATCTGAATTAGGACAAAAATCAGACTTAACTAGACTAAAATAAGACTATTGGTGAGAAACAGAACAAAATCAGGTTAAAACCAAATCTAATCTAAGAATTATTATCATTATTACCAAAACTATTATCCGTACCACCATTTGAGGATTATCACTAGAACATAGTCACGTCTCTCACCTCCAGGACACTCCTTTGTTTTCTGTAACCAACTCGAAAAGGTTCTTTGCCTTGGCCCCGAACCCAGCCTGTAAATAAATGATGTAAAAAGAGCTGTAATGTTGAAGACAGAAAGTGTGAGCAGAGCAAACAGATGGGAGCGTACCGTGAGTGAGTCTCCCAGAGCGCCCACGATTTTAATGTCAGCCGGGCGTACCCTGTGAGCTATGAAACAACAGGTACAAAGTTTATTGAAAAGGCAGCAATATTCCATCATTTATTGCGAAATTTAGCTGTTACGTTCATTGTGGATTTTCTTCTTGTCTTAAAAACATTTTAAAAAACAGAACTAGTTTGTTTTAAACAGTTTGCAGTGGTCCAAAGTTATTCCTCACTTACTTTTCGCATTCTGAGCAACATAATTATTCACTGCTACGAGTTTATAAGCTCTTTTCACAGCTTTCATAAACCGGTGTAGAGGTTTTTTTTTGTGAAGGTAAATCTATCAATGGCTACTATGTTACAACACACTTCCTGATTATCGGACAAAATTTTTTACAGTTACTGTAGGTGCAGACAGTCCACAGTGGTCTCATTTGGATCTCAAGAGCTGCTTATACAATATCACTGTGGCAAGACAAAAAAGGGGCTGTACCTAGTTTTTTTTTCATGTAATTAAGTAAATTAGGGTCAAAATGAGACTCCTGTGTGCTTTCTGATCAAGATCGACCAACATGGGTTTTTTCATGGCCAACTGTTTAGAATACGGTGACCAGACATTCCTATTTACCCAGGACAGTCCCAGTTTTGAGCCCTGTGTCCCCTGTCCCAGCAGATTTATACAAAACCAGTGATTTGTTCCAGTTTTATACAAGAAATTGTCCCAGGTGTCCCTATTTTTGACAAATCTGATCCCTGCCTACAGTAAAGAAAAAGGTGTAAAATTGACATTTGTTTAGGTAAAATACAGAAAAGCTGCTTAAAAATGACAAAACACAAAGAAAATGTGACTATACTGACTCACATTAGTGTCAAGTGCATAACAGTTTTCCTTCACTACACACTTGTTTCACAATTTTATTATTACCAAACACCACAAATCAGGGATGTCCCAGTTTTTCATTTTGAAAATCTGGTCACCGTAGTTTAGAATCCAGAGGAAGTTATGTCCGATCAGCTCTGCCGATATTTTTGGGCACAAATGTAGGGCCGATTTGGATTTCCCCCCCAAATTCAGGATTTTACAACAAATTTATAAAAGAGCAGTCTTACAGTTGTTTCTTGGCACTAAAGTCTTCAAATGGACCTTTATGTTTTAGGCAGCTGGAAAACCAAAACTAAAACCTAAACTACACTAGAAAGTAACAAATATCACCCAAACGACATCTCTGTCTATTCTGTCTGCATCTAAAGTGTTTTAATTTTCCATGAACCAAGAAGTAACGCTGGTGTGTTGTTAGAATTCAAGCTGTTGTTAACATTGTCAGGACACACAAACCACTTGAAACACGCTCATAAACTCTTATTGCAGTGAATAATTGAGGTGGTAGGAATCCATTTGAAAAGTGAGGAACAACTTTGGGCCACTGCAGAAAAATTAACTTGTTTTAGAAGTAGAAATAAGGTCAGCGCTTTTAAATGACTGAGAACTTACCTGAGGTGGGTACAGACTGTGATGGGGCTGTATCCACGCAGGCGAAATCACTGCCCCAGTCCTAAAAAGAAGAACGACTTTCAGGCAAGAACTTAGTTTTATGCTATTCATAAACTCTACAGACCAGGATATGGGAGGCATGCAATATTAATATTTTTATGGTTAAGTGATGATAATGAGTCGCACATTGGGCTGTGCAATGAATCAAATTTAGAATCGCAATTTTAATTGTTGCTCTATTCTATGACAAAAATGTAATAATTGAAAACGATTCCTTCTGTTCTTAATGATCTGTGCAGTATATCATTCTGTCCCTCAGAACCTGGAGCCAAGACACTATTCTAATCTACACAGGCAAAACCTGTAAAATAGAAGGTCGTAAGTACATACTTTCTATACAGTATGAAAGTAAATAATAATTGTGATAATAATATTTGCCATAATCCAGCAGCCTTCTAGTTGTCAATATGTAAAACATAAATACATACAAAAGATATACGATATAGTTAAAACGAGAACACAGGCTCCATCTGATCTAATCTTAAACAATCAATTCAAATGAGAAATACCATATCTTTCGGACTATAAGGTGCACCGGATTATAAGGCACAATATCAGTAATGTTGAATTCTCTCATCTATTTTCATACTTGAGGAGCATCGGATTATAAGGCTTATTAAGTAAAACAAACGGAACACAACAGACTGATCCCTTAGCCCAGGCGTCCACGATCCATTGGCAGTTCATGGTGTAATTCGCCCAGCGTTGCCTCCCTGTCTTGGTGAATGTGTATTATGACTGTGGATGTGGGTGGATAATTTAAGTTTGACTTGTTATTTCCTATGAGGATGACTCAAATATACATTGAGTAATAATGTGTTTAATGCAGCTTTGCACACATTTGTTTACGTTTTACAGAAATGAAACTTAAAACCACATGGCTTATTTGCATAAACTATAAGCTCTGAAAAAAACAGCTCGCTCCTTGTGTCCTAATGCAGTCAGCTTCTGTCGGACTAATTTACTCTACGAGGTTCCTGACTACGGTAGCCATAATGCTCCAACAATTCATCAAGCGGTGCATCTTTATAGTTTACCAAGGTCATACTAAACCATTTTGACAGATTTCTGAGCGCCGTGTACCACATACAGTCGGTTTGACGTCAGTAAGCACAAACAGAATTAATACATGAGGCACACCAGATTATAAGGCGCACTGTTGATTTTTGAGAAAATTAAAGGATTTTTAAGTGCACCATATAGTCCGAAAAATACGGTAATCAGACTTACTGTTATAGGAGGGGGAGTGGGTGGAAGGCCGGAGAATGTATAGTTGCTGTTGAGAGCGGTACTCAAAAATGGTCTGGTCTGAAACAAAACAGTAAAAGATTACCAAACATATATGATTCACCTTTCGCAACATCAGTTAGGTGTTATCTACCTCAGAGGGACACTTCAGCTCAAGTCCCTGGGTGAAATCTTGGGTGTAGGTCTTGTTGCCGACCGGCTCCAGCTACAGAAACATACAGCAGTGTCACTTTAAAGTTCTCACAGGTCTGAAGTGAACAGAAAAGTGCAGTACCATGTTATTCCAGAGAGCGCGAGCCATCAGCGTGTGGGCCTTCTGACTCAGGTGGAAACAGTCAGGAGAGAAGTACGAGCGATCAGGGCGACCATCCTTCAACAAAAACAAAAACTATTAGTACAATCAAACTTATACTGTAAATCCCACAATACTTGAAGAGCGTATGACTAGTTAAACTAAACATTTCACTAAAACATAGTTCACATTATAGTGAAAATGGTGAAGTTTATCATTTTAGTTCCAGGTTGGACACGGGTTACCTAACTACCGTGATGTTAAGAAGGGATAAAATGGTCAGATATTCACATTTCTATGCAGGTTCAAAGTGCTTTACATTAAGGAACCACTCAGCCATTCACACACAGATTCACCAGTGTACACAGACACTGGGGGCGAGTGTCATGTCCAAGGACACAACAACATCATCTATCTGTGGAACCTGGAATCGTGCCGCTCAACTAATGATGTTTATGTCGAGAGTGGGATTCGAACTGCCAACCTTTAGATCAGTGGACAAACACTCCACTATCAACTCAACTACTGTCACCCAAACTTGTCTGACTCACCGCTATTCAGCTTAATTAGTAGGAATGTAACGATATCCAAATCTCTCTGTACGATATTATCAGGATATGCATCTCACGGAACGTTATTTATTGTGATATTTTGGAGAGGCTGATATAATAGGAGATAGGATGCTTTTTTGCTTTTAAAATACCTTGACAAGATTTTGTGTGAATTATTTCCATCATAATCCCAAGAATTCAAGTAAAAAACATGTTTTTTGCACTGAAATGACTCATGGGATATGTAGTTCCTGATGTTCATAAGATGTTGCTACTATAAAACCATGTATTTAAGTAAAGAAACTTGTAATTCAATATATTGTGACAGCCCACAATATTATTGTGAGACTTTTGACGATACGATATCACAATATTTTGGTTATTATTACATCCCGATTAATTAGTCATAAATACTTGATGACTGATTTTTGTTAAAGACCTGCCTTGTCTTCAAAATCGGTATCAGAACTGAAAAAGTTGGATAGGTGCGTCCCTGGTGGTTGCCAACAACTACAATATGCAATATGTAAAGGAAAGATATAAAAGTAAAATATATTGGTTGCAAGCTACATGGATTACACAATTCACAATGCATCCAGTACAGTTTTGGACAATTTCAAGTTTTTCTGACCAAATTATATCAAATGACATATTTAAAAGCCTCATTTTCATACCTGTGTTATGCCCTGATGAAGACGGTTTCATAGTTGAAGTTAATTAAAGATATTGTTTCTTTTTTAGAATTCCATCACTTTCTTTAATCCTCATGTTTTTAACCTTCTCCATTCTTGGCTCCCCAGTTCAGCCTCTCACTTTATTAAATCTGATAAACTGAATACTGAATGTCACATGTGGTCATCGTCATACCTGTAGTTTGGGCAGGAACACCTCTCTGAAGAAGGGCTGCAGCACCACGGTGAAGTTGTCATGTGTGTCGTAGCGTCCGGATTCTACCAGATCTCTCATTCCTTTCTGCAGGTTCACACACATGGAGTTATGTGAGGAGAGAATACAGGACCACCAAAAGATATACTAAAATATACTAAAATACTAACATTTCAAACTGAATTTCATTACTAGGGAACAGACTGGATACTCAATAATAATAAATACTCATAGATTTCAACTTGTGATCCAAATGACATGAGAGGAAGTGAGTTCACATAATTATACAGCTTTTTGGTTAAATTTAAAGCAGAACTAAGTTTCATTTTTACATTATTAAACATCTTTGTAACTCCCTGTGATGGCCAAGTATGTATTAGCAGAGTTTTTAAAGTGTCTGTTGTCTCCCCCTGTTGTCTCCGTGCAGAAAACCAGTGACTCTGGCTCTTGTTTGTTTTTATATAGGAACATTATATATTTTTAAGTGATTATACTGCCTTATTTCAATTTACAAAAAAGAGAAGAAAAGAAGACAAACAATTTAAAGTTCGTTCCTGACAGTGTATTCTCATAAGAGAGCAGCTCTGTTGTTGAAAGTTACTTAGTTCTACCTTAAGTCTGTATATTTGGATAGACATATGTTCCAGAGGAGATTTTCTCTTTGGTTGTTATAAAAACATGTGTATACTTTAAGGCAGGGGTGTCAAACTCATTTTGGTCCGGGGGCCGTATCCAACCTACTTTGATCCCAAAGAGGCCGGATCAGAAAACTCATGTCATATAAACCCAAAAATAACAATAAGTTCAAATATTTGTGCAGAGAAACACAAATCTATTACAGAAATATTTTTTAATTGATGAACTCTTTATTATTATAATGTTATAATATTATGAACAACCTGAAACTTTAAGAAAAATTCAATTTCAACATTTAAAATATTTTAGTAGAAAATCACCCAAGGGCCACATTAAAGGTCTTGGAGGGCCGGATCTGGCCCCCGGGCCTTATGTTTGACGCCTGTGCTTTAAGGTATAAGGGATGACTCTACTGTACCTGATAGGCTTTGTTATAATCTTCGATCTTCTGGAGCTCTATTGATCCCATCTTTGGTTTCAGGATGCAAGAACAAATAAAACTGGGAAATAAAACAGTAAGTATTCAGTTAGATTTATAGAGCATTAACATTGCATTTTGCCCAATGGGGCTACAATAGTGGGGCAGACTGATGCCAATCTGCTCCACTGGTCCCTCCAAACACCCACAGAATATATATATGAGAATATATGAATGGACATAACTATAGCACTAGTTGCCGCGTTCCAAATAGGAAGTTCACCAGGAGGCACTTCCGGCTCCTGACTCTGGCTCCAATTGATTCACATTGGGATCTTGTGCCTCCTCTCTCTTTACCTGCTGCTGTGGGCCTCATCATTTTGGTCTTAAATGTTTGTATTAACCCACTCTCCATGATCTTGTATTTTTCATTTTGCTATTTTGTCCTTAAATCAAGATGTGAACAAAAATAACGAACCAATCAGACGCCTTCATTCCATGAGGTCGCTCCCGATAGTGTTAGTTACAGGTTTGATTGACAGCTAGTGTGTTTTGTTGCTAAGTAAACCCCCTTCCCACTTTCCGGTGAGAAGGGCGGGCACATTTAATGACCTCAATCATGATTAGCTCTTGTGGTTGCTATGATACCCTCTGCCGGATTTCCAAATATTGAGTCTGGCTCCAGATTCGCTCCTGTAACCGTTAGTGGATCTGAACGCTGTGGGTGACGTCGCACTGGCTTAGTTCACTTTTTTAGACTGTATAAAAAAAGTGGACTAAGTGAGTGTGACATCACCACATGTGTGTGGCGATATGAGTGGAGTGAAGTGTCTTGCCCAAGGACACAAAAACATCCAAGTGTTAATCAGGCCCAGCCTTGCTTAGCTTCTGAGATCAGATGAGATGAAAATATTTATATTAACAAAATGAAGAAGAGCTGATGGCACTGACTTGACAAACCAGGTGGGGCAGCCCAGAGTGCTGTCCTGGTGCAGCTCCCTCAGAGGTACAATGTTTAACATCTCCACCAGGTTCACTAAGGCCCGAGGAACCTGCACACAACACACAACACACACAACACACACAACACACACACAACACAAGGCTTATACTTACTGGATATGAGCTATGTACAGTCAGGGTTACCAGTCTTACTTGAGATTATTTTCCAGGACTTTTGCAGGATATTTTTATTTTTGTAATGACAGTGTCTACAACCAGGTAAACCCCTTTGTATACAGTTTTTATACTGAGATATGTAGTACCAGAAGTACACAATTACTGCAAATGAATCATACACAAAGGCAAACACACTAGATTTTGTTATACAGATGACCAAACAATATTTTCTGATGGAACCCTGAAAATGTTTAGGAGAAAACTAAAGAGGGAGACTTACTTCCGCGTGGAGGATGTCCAGAGCCGCACGAATGCGCTCAACCACATTCCGGGGAGAGAAAACTAACTGTTGGAAATAGAAGTTATTGATTAAACCTGCTTTAATTAAATAACTCGCCAAAACAAGAATTACGAGCAGACTGCAGACGGCTACTTACAGAATCCGTGCAGAAGTCACAGATGTCGTTTCCTCCCACAAACAGAGTGATCACCTTCCAGTCATTGTGGAAATCGATTCTCTAGGATAGACAGGAGACATTGTTGGAGTTGTCACTTTAATAAATACTTAATAATAAATGTGTATTGTTGTATATGTGCATACCGAGTCAGTTTTCATCTTCTCTATCAAGACTCGCACTTGCGCCACCATATCACTACAGAACAAACAAGTTTAAGTATAACTGACAGGTTTTCAAGTTTTTCTAATAAAGTTATTGTTTGCTGGAACCTGTGCACCTGTGTTAAATATTTATCATAGTTTTACATCAGTTAAGTGACAAGTTTGTGAGACAAATGTTAGAAAAGTACAAAAATACAGGACGTACTGTTGAGTTCTAAAACATGTCGTCAACATATGAAATTCAATCCAAAATATAGGGACAATTTATGTGCCAGAAGACATTTTTCTGGCCGTTTAAACCTTCATTTAACAAAATAAAAGTGTTGTCATTTATTGTATTTGTCTAATCATAAATATTGCGTAACAGTTTTGACTCTTGTTAACATTATGGCTGCTTGCTATCAGTTATTAACCAAGAAAAGTAGGAAAACACTGTACTTAGGTAAACATTTAGGTATCTGTACTTTATTAAAGTAGATTTTAAAGTGGACACTTTTTACTTTTTTCTTTCTAATTCTTTCCACTTTCTACTTCTCTACATTTGAGAGCAGGTATCTGTACTTTCTACACTTACACTGTTTTTATTATTGTGTGAGACCTGCTGAAACGGCTGAGGGTTTATTATTAACACTTTTGTCATTTGAGAAAAACTAAAATATACAAATAAAAACAGCTAGGAAAAAATGTCTGATTCAATTGTTTCTGTTCAGCACAAATTTTTACCAAAACCACTACAGTTGAAACTTTATTAAATTTCAAAATCTGTGCAAAATACTTTTACTTCCTACTCTTTAAGTACATTTTTAAACAGGTACTTTAATACTTTTCCTAATGTAGATGTTTTTTTTTTTTTTTACTTAAAGGTTGTATGGAGGATTTTTTTTTGTTTTTTTTGTTTCAAGTTGTCAATGATAGATTATAGAGGTGCAGTAGCCTTGTAATTATGATGACCAAAAAAAAGAGAATAAAAATTCATCAACTCTGGACGTGGTGGGGCTAAACATTTGCCAATAGATAACGACACTGCCTCGTTATCTGTGAGCTGACAGGCTGTCAATCAATCTCCCTACGTTTCTAGCGTAACTGACTTGCCTGCGCGCCGCCGGTACGTGGTTTACGTACGACTGTCACGCAGTCCACAGACGCAAGCCGCACAGACGCTGTTTACTCCACCAACACAAACAGTTCTTAGTGGCTTTTTTTTGACCTATATCTTCCTCACAGTTAGCACAAAGTTTGTTGCAATGGCGACAAGAATCCAGGAGCAGTTCGCCGCAAAAGAAAGTCAGTTTTTTTGAGGTCGCTGAAAGAAGAAGACAAGGGGAAAAGCAGCGAAGCCAAACTAAGGTGATTCTTGAAGATTCATTCCAGCGATGGCGCGACTGAAGCAGACGCAGGGTCTAAAGACTGACGCACTGGTCGCCAAATTACTCCTGGACAGGAAACTTCTGCTTATTATGAAAACGTACTTTATTTCCAAGAGCTAGACAAACGTTTTTCAGGACACGAAAGCGATATCCTATGTCTGAAAACGTAATTTTCAAGGCAAAGAAAGAGTCCGCTTGCTGCTGCGTGTTGTAGCTAGTTCATTCGCACGGAATCTCTGCGCACCCTTCTCTGCACCCCTTTCCTGCTCCTGTCCCCGCTGCCCGTTCCGCTCTTCCCCCTGCTCCTCACTTCTCCGGGCACGGAATCTCCGCGCACCGCTCCCCTCTCCTCTCTCCTCTCCCTGCTCCCCGCTCCGCTCTTCTCCCTGCTCCTCACTTCTCGTCCGCGAACGAAATGTCCGCACACCCGCTCCCCCCGCTCCTCACTTCTCCGTCTTGCCTAACCAACACTGTAGTTAGTTGTTTACAAGTCATGTGCAGCGCACCGGCTGTAAACAAACCTGTTTCTGGCGTAAAGGAGGAGGGAGGAAGGCGTTTCTACGTAGGAGCTGTAGGGGAGGGGGGGTGGTTTCACGCATGCGCAAACATTTGAAAAAGGACAAACAGTCGCTGGATTTCTCGTTCCTTGGAAAATCCTCTATACAACCTTTAAGTAACAAAATTGAGTACTTCTTCCACTGCTGATGTTAACTGTGTTTTTATGAAATAAGTCTAATCCATCATATGCATTTTAACCAAAAGTTAAAACGTAAACATTAGGTGGACCAAGACTGTATGACCATGTAAAGTGTAAAGTGGTTTTTCACAGACTATTTTACTAAATGTAATGACAGAGTGAAGCCGTACCCGCTCTTGGCCCCTGGTACGGCCTGGTTGAGGAAGGACTGGGGCGTGTTCTGTGAGCCCTGCCCCACAGAGAAGCCCGTCACATCAGGGTTAAACTCCCTCAGGATGTCTGTTTGACCACATCACATGAGAATTATCAACACAGTGTATTATATTATCATACATATTAGACATTTGAAAAGTTTGTAAATACATAAATTCCCAGTTCAAAAATGGAGGTAAAAGTGAAGTTGAACATAATGTGATTTCAATGGAGAAACCGAGATTATATGATAAATTATAAGACTTTGGGCAAATGATAACCACTCAGATACATATGAGTCCATTTACTATTCTATTCTACATGATTTGTTTATTTAATAAGAGATTATAATTAGGGATGTAACAATAACCGAAGGATCGTGATATCGTATCGTCAAAAGTCTCACAGTAATATCGTGGGCTGTCACAATATATTGAATTACAAGTTTCTCTGCTTAACTGCATGGTTTTATAGTAACACTAGCTTATAAACATCTGGAACTACATATCCCATGATTCATTTCAGCATAGACAACATGAAGTAATATGTTTTTTAGTTCAATTCTTGGGATTATGACGGAAATAATTCACACCAAACTCTTGTCAGGGTATTTTAAAAGTAAAAAAGCCTCCTCTCTACAATTATATCAGCCTCTCCAAAATATTGCAATAAATATCGTACCATGAGATGCATATCGTCATAATATCGTACTGAGAGATTTGGATATTGTTACATCCCTAGTTATGGTAGACACATATTTACTTATCAAATATTGACAGAAATGTTGTTACATACTTAACTACACATTATAAGTTTTGCCAAACTCAAATACAATTTTGGCTAGAAAACTTTGGTCCATAATTTAAAGGTACACTATGCAACTTTTCAGGTAGGGAGTCCGCTACCTAATTGTCTCCATGGAGTTGTTAGTTCCTGCTTTGCCGGAAGTGCTCCACAGTTTGACATATCTCATGTTAAGTAAATCACCGGTATTTTTACTGCTCAAAAATATCTTAAAAACATACATTCTCTTTGTCAGCATAGTCACCTCTCCACAGATCTGACCTGTAACTTGGCCTTGTTGCATCACTTGTTTGTTTCTTTGGAAATGTAAACATCTAATGCTGTGCTGTTGAAATGTTGACACTGGGAATTCAAAATGGTTGCTTATTTTTGTTATAAATACATAAACTCCTTAGTAAATCTGATGTGTGTAAATCAATGAAACTGTATTACAGCCTGGCCTATACTAAATGTTGCCTCCATTTCGGAACATTTGGAACATTTTGCTGCCGTAGGGTTTATCATGGGAAGAGAAAAGCTACATACTGGGCAGGGTTGTGACGGTGCTGATGTTTCCATCACCACCAATGCTGAAAAACACAGAAACACACTTGGGACTCTCAGCTGAAATTGAGATGAAGCAGAGTGAAGTTTGCTTACCTCCATGACAGCCCCCTGTACTGAGTTTGCACCAACAGAATATTGTCGTTCTTTGCACCCACACCATTGGCCGCCTGGTAAAAATATAACCGGTGCACTGGTCATGTACTATTGTAAGTGCTGTTACATGATATGACAAGAGAGAAACATTGACTTTTGGAGGTTTCTATCATGTTTTAACATTGTTCCCTCATGAAAAACACGCCAGAAGAGGTTTTAGATGTCATTCAAACAAGTATACTGTTCTACAATACACTACAACTTCAAAAAATACTACTCAAAGTACTTTTTAACGCAATTTTATAAGCACTTTAGATCACTTCTATGGCTAATTATTGGTTCATTCTGCTCCTCAGGCCTTTATATCAGTGGCATAAAGTATTTTCAATATTACCATTTATCTCAATATTTCTTTTTAGCTATTAGTGATGGGATAAGATTACATCAGACATCACAAATTCAGACACATACATGACATTTACATAGAGCATAACAGTGATCACAGATGTGCATGTGTGAAAATAGTGTGTTGTTCTCTGTGAAAAAGTTAGTCATCAGACAAAATTGCTAGATTGTGCATTTTTCGTGAGATATTTTCCTCATATTTTTACATTTGCCGTGAGTATTTCTATTTGAATCTCACCGTGATCGAGTCTCCGACAGCAGCGACCACTTTGACATCTGCAGGTCTGACCATGTGCACTGGAGACACAGTCAGTAACGTCAAAAGTGATGAAGACACAAAAAAAAAACCAAAGAAGCAAACATGTGGAAGTGTGGATGAGTGGGCATTTACCTGAGGTGGGTGGAGTTGGAGAGGGACTGCGGTATGTGCAGGGAATCTCTGTCCCATAATCCTAAAAAAAAGTGGAAAAAAGGAATAAAGTTTCAGGTGTTATGAATAAGATAACTATGGGTGGAGGCACACTTAAATACACATACAAATGTGTAACACTGTGTAACTTTTCTTGTTGAGCGTCCGCCACAAACTTGTTTCCATGGAGATAATATTGCTGTGCCCAAAACGTTTCACAGTATGGCATTAAACTCACCAAACTCATCATCTTGTATCTTTATTCAATTACAGGTGTTTTACCGCTCAAAAATACTGTAAAAAACACGCTCCTACAATGAGTGAGCTCGCCTCTCCACAGAGTGTGGAGCTGCGACTAATAAATATTCAACTTCTTGTGTACCTTATGCAGATCTAAATGGCATTAGTGTATTGAATAGAACTGAATTGAACCTGTTTTTACTCTAACTTGTGTGTATAAGTAATATTTACTTGCTCAGTTCAAGGCAATTGGTTTCCTAGATTTTTTCAAGTAAGATTAACTTACTCTTAAAGTGAAGGTTACTACATATTTCAGATTTGAGGAACTGACTGATTAGTTGGCACAGCTTCACAACATGAGTTCCATGAATGAAAACTAAAGTTCACTAAACTTGATGTGCCTAGTTAGATGAAAGAGGAATTTACGGTACACTACACTGAGGAATTACTTGTAAACTCAGCTTTAGATTGACAATCCACTCATCAAGTTTTTCAAGGCAATCAGTTTCTTAGATTTTTTCAAGTAAGGTCTACTTATTAGATTTTACAGAGCATCAACCCAAAACATGCACAATTAGGTCAAATCCTACAGCTAAATTTGACCAAGGCCAGCTCAAGATCTAGAGATGGCCCAACAGCGGCACTAAAGGATGAGTCAAATGCAGAAGACAAACCATAAACATACCGGATCCACAGCGACAGGTGCAGCGCCATGAGCCCTCTGCTCCTTCTGGACAGGTGAGTTTATCTGTGTGCGCAGGTACGGCCGGTCCTACAGGAGGCGCACAACACAGTCACAGTCAAGCTCAAACCACTCGACTTGATGACACAATAACACTCTTTGTAGCCTGATAACGGCGCGTCTCACCGGGGATGGACAGACGAAGTGCAGGGAAGAGCCGTCCGTGACCGTGACCTGTGACCCCGCAGCGGACGGCACCTGCAGCTACAACGCCAGGCAACAGCACGGTTAGCAAATCATTACAGACAAAACACAACACTGCAATTACAAGTTAAACTTTTTTTTTTTTGTGGCAATTATCGTTTTACTTCCTGGTTGGACACGGGCAGCAGTCATGACATAATGTTAACAAGGACCAAAACTTGTTTAAATTGCACAAAAGTTGATGATTAGACAAAAAAAACAACAAACAACAGCACCGTTATTTTGTTAAATGAAGGCTTAAACAGCCAGAAAAGAGTAAATTGTTCGTCCATTTTGAATAAGAGGTGGGTAGAGTAGCCAAAAATTGTGGCAAGTAAGAGCACTGTTACTTCGAAATAATATTACTCAAGCAGAAATACAAAATACTGGTCCAACAATACTTAAGTAAAAGTAAAAAAAGTATTTGAAACAGTATTATTCGAGTAAGAGTAACTTAAAGAATAAATGTCAAGACGTGCCATCTGATTTATAAATAGTTAATGTAATTTGAAGGACAAGACATGAAATTAAACAAAATAATGCACAAAATCTGATGTTTTCAATGGACAGACACAAAAATGAGACAAACTAAATCATATCTGAAGGAGCTACAAAAAACACAAATGATAAAATCCTTTCATACTGTCACATAAAGCTTTTGTCATTTTAGACTTACTCGCAGTGGGAAGAGGAAGCAGAACTTTTACTCAAATACAAGTAAAGTTACTGCAATACAACTTTTACTGAAACTATGCTGCTAGAAAAGTACTTTGAAAAGTGAAATGTCACTAAAAATAAATGTAACTGACACCTGTGTAACAACAACGGTTATAAATACTGACCATAGACACAGCAGTAATTAGAAAAACATGTAAACCTGCCATGTGTACTTTACACTGAGATCCATAAATGATTAGTATTTTATTGCCTGATCGCTTTGATTCAGGATTGCACGAGAGCTCTTTCAAAATAAGCTTCATTCGAATTACTCAATGACATCTGACAAATTTATAGTTGGAGTTATCCGCAGTGCATCTGGTTAATCTTTACATCTTGTATCTAATCTAAGCCAGATAAGTAGCTCTTATATCTACATTATGACACATTTGCTTGAGCGTGACTGGAACAAAGGGTCATTTCCAGCATCAGTTAAATAAAATGTGAATCCTGTGTTTCCTTTTCACACGAGGAATGAAGAATTTGGACATTAACACTTTAAAACTAAATATTATATCTTTGGAATGGGAAAAAATGTCCTCAAAGGGTTATTTGTATTGGTGCGTTTCAGAAGACATCACAACGTTCTGTAGACAAAAGTTATTTAACACAGATGGGGGGCAGGCAGCTAAAATAAATATTGTTAAAAATGCAGATTTCTATTGTCATACGGTGAGTTCTTCCAACCTGTAGCTCAGGACTTTGCAGTATCTCTCCCACCCCCTTACAAGTATTTCGCCATGGGACTTCTGAATGATACGTATTGCGCTGAATGACTCAAATTTGATTAATAACCATTGTTGCACCATTGCGCAGTTATCATGTGTTATTTTGAACTTTGTGTCCTAATGAATAGATAATGGTTTTAGGTTTTATAGGCATCTAACTGTGCAGCACTAACACTCCTATATCGATTAATTTCTTGCAAATGCTAAAAGGAGTGGTTTTCCGGCGTTTTCATTTTGTAAAGGTAGCTCACCCAACGCAAAAGGTTGGAGATCCCTGGTTTAGACACTGGTTCAATATTTTTTAATTTACCTTTTAGATATTTATTTATTTATTTATTGGATCCCCTTTAGTCTTTACTGGGGTAAAGACTACTATTCCTGGGGTCCAAATTGGCATAATTTACAATAAAATGTTGCATTATAATAACAAAAAGTTCACACATAAGTTCATACAGTCCTGTTCCATAGTATATTACACTACACAACACTACAACAATTATAATATATCCAATAAATTACAATGCATAGCTAGTGACTAAATATAATTATGTACAATTTCCAATATATTACTGTAACATTTTCTTAAAACTTGGTTCATGCTTGTTAACAGTTAAGGTTCACAAGCAAGATATTTCATGGTAAAGTACAATGTAATCAACCGGGAAAACTGGCTCTTGCCCCCATCATCAAATTCTAACATCTACCAGTAAAACAGATACTCGTGAAAAACGGTTTGCAAACTTGCATATAAAAAGTAAACAATAACCAAAATGCAGTTCAAAGTTAATTGTGTGTGATGTATTCTAAAATATAATAGGTACTAAATATCATAAACAAAGACTTACCATATTAGTCAACAGCTGAATGGCTATGTTGTTTACATCTGATACCGAATTGACCTGGAAGCAGATATATTTACAGATAAAATTTAGTCACGCAGGTCCAGCAGCTCTATGAAGACAGATAAGTCACTGTGTGTAATATTGCAGCCAAAGGAACAACATTTCCAAGGAAACAATCAGGCAAATCATTAATATCAAATAAGGTTTGTAGAGATTACTGTTGTCATGATACCAAGATTTTGAATTTGATTTTGATGCTAAGGAAAAGACTACTACTACTTCGATACCAATTTTGATACCACAATCATGAAAAGATTCTAATACTAGTCTTGATAAATCAATTAGTATCTAATTTTCAATATTTTTGACAAGCCTGCTCACAGTGATGGACTAGGAGTGTGCAAAACTATTGAAATATTGATATAACCTATCATTTAAAAAAGTATTTTTTGGTATATTTTACTAAGTTATTTTGCTACAGTGCTATAGTTTTATTGTTTGTTCAGAGAGAAAACTGGTTTATGCAAAACATTTGACATTTTGACAGTTTTGATGATTAAAATGTTTGTGTTTCATATGAAGTTTGCACAACAAGTGGTATAACAAAGACTTTTAGTATCACACCCATGAACCTTTTTTACTGTACTGAATTGGATCGACTTGAAATATATATCGTATCGAATTATATCAAATTGAAAGCTCAAGGTACGTATCGTATCGTGGCCTATGTATCGAGATATGTATCATACCGTGGCCTACGTATTGAGATATGTATCGTATCATGGCATGTGTATCGAGATATGCATTGTATTGTGGCCTATGTATCGTTTCATGGCCTATGTATCAAGATATGTATCGTATCGTGGCCAATGTATCGAGATATGTATTATATCATCGCCTGTGTATTGAGATATGTATCGAATTGTGGCCTATGTATCGTTTCATGGTCTATGTATCAAGATATGTATCGTATCGTGGCCAATATATCAAGATATGTATTATATCATGGCCTAAGTATCGAGATATGTATCGTATCGCGGTCTGTGTATCGTGATATGTATCGTATCATGGCCTATGTATCGAGATATGTATCGTATCGCGGCCTGTGTATCGTGATATGTATCGTATCATGGCCTATGTATCAAGATGTGTATTGTACCATGGCCTATGTATCGAGATATGTATCGTATCGTGGCCTGTGTATCGTGATATGTATCGTATCATGGCCTATGTATCGAGATATGTATCGTATCGTGGCCTGTGTATCGAGATAAGTATCGTATCGTGATCTGTGTACCAAGATATGTATCGTATTGTGGCCTATTTCCTAACAAGTTACGCAATAGGGCTTTAAACTCTGCTTAGATCAAAGACATGTGTTAGTCTCGTGCAGCTACAAAGAATAACCCACGTGAATGTTATAGCTGTCAATGAGATCTACAAAACCATGATTGAAAGTGCAATAAAAACATAAAACTGATTAAGTATAGCATTGTCATAGAGGAAGTGCAGATATGCGGCGTGTATGAGCGCTTACAGACTCAGAGATGACTGGGAGAGGCTGCAGGATCACGCTGAAATCATCACTGTCCCACTGTTTGTCCACCATCATAGTTTCTAATGATTCCTGAGGAGAAAGGGTGAAAAATACTGGGTGTGAAATGGATTTATAATGTTGTTTCCTCATCACAAACAGACCTAGAGTTGTGCTTTGTTTAATTTACACAAGTTTAACACACAAACTTTGCATATTTTAGCTGAGTTCTTCTCTCAAACTGATAACACTCTGTTCTTGTGATATCATGTGGTAATACAGTAAGTGCTCCACTGTATTTTTAAACTCCATGCACCTTCACTAGAATCATTTGTCAAGAATTGTTAGTAACTGTTGACTTGAAAATTACCGCTTCATGACACAAAGTGGAACAGAGCATTTTGAGATTTGGAGATGTAGACGGACTAATAAAAAAGGATTACTCATTAAACATGTGTGAATGAAACAAAACACAACAATCAAAACAGGTAAGTTTTTGAGGAGGAACAAAATACAAAAACAAAAACGCTATTAAAACATACAATATCTATAGGAAATAACAGTATCACTCTCCCCTACGTCTTATGTTACAATTCCTCTTATTTGCTTAAGTATACTTGGTTTTGTCTGCATATCAGCCCCGTATCTTGTTGTGTGTATGAACATATTGAATAAAAAAATATACAAACAGCCCCCACGGTGGAGTGTTTTAAGTCTCGTCTGAAGACCCACTTTTATTCTCTGGCTTTTAATACTGCATGAGGTGTGTGGTCCTCAGTGTCTTTCATTTTATTTATTTATTTATTTATTTATTTTTTTTTTAGTACTGCTTTTATGCATTGATTTTATTTTTATTATTTTATTTATTTATTCTATTTGTTTCCTTATGGTTGAAACATGATTCTGCTGATTTTTTTTTTTAAGGTAAAATGTTTTACTTTGCTATGTGAAGCACTTTGGAAACTGTTTTGTTTATAAAATGTGCTATACAAATGAAATTGGACTGGATTGGAAAAAAAATAATAAAAATTTAAAATATTTTTGAGGAGGTAACAGGATTCTAACAGCCTAAAGCTCACAGGTGTCAATTTTGTGTAATATAGGATCTTTAAAGTGCACATGACAAATTAGATTATTCTCTTCCCAAAAACATAGTTAACATAATTTTTTAAGTGTTTTAATTTTAGTGTTTATAATTTTACTTCCTGGTTGGACACAGGAAGTTGATCAAATTAATACAAATAAATGACAACACCTCTACTTTATGGATCTTTAAAATGTTAGAAAACTCGAGCATAAATTGTCTTTGTATTTTGGATGGCATTTTCTGTGTTGATGACATAGATAGAGGGATTCAGTTTTACTTTTAAATACTTCCTGTCATTTTTTGTACTTTTCTTCTCATCTTTTTTCCATAAATGTTACTTAACTATGATAAATATTTAACACAGCTGCTATCATCACCAAACCAAGTCAGAATTACACAAAAACTTGTCATATGCACTTTATCTGTATTCATTTTTTTGTCTGATCTCTCTGGTTATATTTATTTCAAAATCCCGTTGTACCTGTAGTGTTTGGAGAAGTGTAGCTCGATACAACCTCTGGTTTAAGTTCTCATTCCGGGGGCATTCACAGGAGCTGAAAGTACGTATTTTATTATTACATGGAAGTCGTTAACTATGTAATAAAGCTTAGATCATGTTTCTACCAGTGCTGATTTGTTTGCTTAATGAAAAGTGATTTTGTTTGTTGTAGAACTAACCTGCCGTCGTCATCAGGTCCACTCCACACCACCACATGGACCAACGAACGGTGAAACTGTAAATAAAGAAGACGTAATCATGAATATTTACCAAAAAATGTACAAACTTCATCAAAATAAAAACGAGGCAAGATTTTTTGTAACATCTTAAAGGTTCTACAATACACAAAATTGATTCTTGTGAACTTTAAGTCATGTTATAATGTTGTTATCTCAAAAACATCAAAGCTGAGATTGTCGAAACGATTTTGCTGAAGGTGTATGGAGTTTAAAAACACAGTGGAGCACTTCCTGTATTACCACATGACATCACAAGGTGGAACAGATTGTGTCCAGTTTGAGAGAAGAACTCTATATATGCAGGAAACAAAACACAACTCCAGGTCTGTTTGTGATGAGGAAACAACATTATGACATAGAAAAAAGCGCAATATAAACTAAAACACTGTTATATAATTATCTTAACAATGCTTTAGTGCACTTTAAGCACTTTTTTTGGAGTTCACTAATTGATACAGACTTTTGAAATTGTAATACATGCAGACATCACCTTATTGTGCATGAACTGAAGAGCTTCCTCCACTTCCCGGACCAACGCCGTAACATCTGCATCAACCTGTACACAATAACACACACACAGGTAACACATTAGCCAGGTCATACATACATACAAGGCTATTACATAAGGCTATAGTATTTACTACCAGTCAAAAGTTTGGACACACCCTCTCATTCAATGTTTTTTTTTGTTTACTACTCTATACAGTTTAGATACATACAGAACATGTCAAATTTATGAAGCAGCATGTATGGATTTATGTAGCAAAGCAAAAAGGTAAATAACTTTACATATGTTTTCTAGATTATATTCAAACCCTCAAAGTATCCACCCTTTGTTTTGTCGACAGAGCTACAAACTCTTGGCCTTTTCTCAGTGAGATTCATGATGACGTCTCCTGAAACGGTTTTCACTTCACGGCTCGGCCATGTCAGGATTCATTAGTGGAATGACAAACGTGTCCAAAGCAGTGATCAAAGCAAAGGGTAAAGGCTATTTTAAATCTTCACAAGTTATTTCAATCAAACTTTCACTAGCGAAGACCACGCCACTAGCCAGGCTGGCACCACCTAGTGCCTCTGCTCAAGTTCATTTCTCTCCAGCAACGAGATCAGGAATCAGAATACACTAGATGGTTTGCAAAAACCCCAGAAGTGCAAGTTCGGGCACCAGCCAATCAGCAAAGAATCATATATTCAGTGTTGTCAAGGATTCCCGAGATCGAGGATCAAACAAAGAGAATGTTTGGTGAATTTTTTCAAGGGGAAAGACATTATTGTCCTTCTTCCTACAGAATTTGGGAAAAGCTTAACGAGTTAGCCCTGTTAGCGGCGCATTACATACGTCACAACCAAATAACAGCGATTGTTTAAATGATAAAAAGTACCCGCCTACTGTCAAGCAAACTAATTCCAATGCTGCAAGGTCAGTTTCTACGATGTGAGCCCAGCTTGAGGAATCAGGCTACCATGCCATAACAATGGAATACAATAACGATATTTATTGACAGTGGATAGATGTGACGGCTGGGGGGAGATTCAGGGTGGGGGTATAATCTCCAATCCAAAATGGTCACCCAGCTGAATCGGAAAACCCTCCCTCCTGGAAGATGCTGTGTTCAGACTGAAGGATGGGTGAAAGGCAAGAGCGCTGACACGGACATGGACAATGTTGTTGGGATAGGCCGTATAAAAAGGATAATTCTGGGTAATTTAAGGCGTGGTTGCGATAAACTGTGGTTGGCTTCAATAGAGGTTGAGGCGTGGTCCAGCTCCTGAATCTCAGTTAATCATATTAGCTCCGCAAGCAACAGAAAAATAACAACGATTAAAAACCCCATTGTTTCTTCCATATTTACAGCAATTTAGACAAAAAACGAAAACATAAAGCTCATATAAATAAATAATTAAGAGATAAAATTAGATTAAGACTAAGTTGAGAGTGTTTATATTTTTTAAAAATAAACTCAAAACGTATCTTTTTAATTTAGCTTTTAATTGAAACTTTTACATGTTTTAAATTAAATTATTATTATTATTTTACTTCAGATCCACAGATTCCACAGACGAGGCCCATAAAACTGAATGACTTGAATGAATGAGTTTTAGTTTGGACTCTTGGGACAGTTAAAAGAAGACTAGGACCTGAGAGTCCGAGAGGCTCATATGATAAACGCTGATCAGATAAATAAATAGCACTAAACAGGAAATTAATTATTAATTAAATAGGACCGTTAAGAGCTTTATAAACAAATAAAAGAACTCTAAAATCTATCATGAAGTTCACACTTTTTCTTTACTACATTCCATACTACTACATTGATTTTTCATATCCACAATCCACAATGTAAATAGTCATGAAAATAAATTAAAAAAAGGTGTGTCCAAACTGTTTTACGTAATGACTGTGAGTGGGTAACTTACATGTGGTGAACAGGGACACAGGGAGTTGGCTGGAACAAACAGCAGCCAAATCTTCCACTGGCTGCCCTAGATTTGAAAAAAACAAACATTATAATTAACCCACCAGCAAGATAAATTCTCACTCTAGCTATGTCTGTTTCTCATTCCTTCTCTCTTTTTTTTCATCAGCAAAGTAGGATTTTTGCACCTCATGCCTCTCCTACTGCAAGCAGCCACATATGAGTTGTAAAGTGTCTTGCTCAGGGACACAAGAACAATATGCGCTCAAGAGAAGCTTGAAGTTTGGCACCTATCTCAGTAATAAAATTTTCTAGTATAACATTTATGTACAAACTTTATGTATATGTATTTACTTGTGCCAAATGTAGTGAGATTTCTTTAACTTCTTCTGGGAGCGTCCTAAAAACACAAAACGAGCACTTTTAAAATGAAAAGTTTAACATATTTGACAATAACTTTATAATATCATTCATTATAAAAAAAAATTTATAGACCCTGAGATGTACCTTTGTTCAGGAGAATGCTCCATATTTTGTGCATGGACATTCGGGTTAAACATGGTCAGCAGTTCTGTTTGATATCAAAGTACATAAAGGGTTAAAAACATTGTCATTCATACTTTGATGGTTGAGAGCTGAAGTGCTGACTCAGGATGATTGGTTTATCTTTACAGCTCTTAGCGACAGTCTTAAAGATAAGTCAAGTAGAACACAACTGTATTGTTCAAATGCATTGTGGTCTAACGCACAATGGCAAGTGACATGTCTGCAGTGGATGGTTTAAAGGTGAATTGTGTAACTTTTCTGCATGGAGATGTTGCCTCATGCTCAAACGACAAGGAAGAGTTTTATTTTTATCTCTGTTTATGGTGTAGAAATAATAGAACATGAAAATAGAACAAAAATTTTACTCCAAATATACATGTATTCAAAAGTGCAGTAAAAAAAAGGGATTATTTCAAAATACTGTGCTGAAGAAATTAGTGCTTAGTGTATATGTATATATGTAATTATAGCTTATATTGTACAGGAAATGAGAAGTCTATATGTTCTTTATTAATTTGGAACAGTAGAAAAAAGGGGTGGGGTTCCTACTCCTTTTTGGACACAAGTAAAATCTACGTGACATTTATTTTTGTTTATTATTGTAGAAAAGAAATATTTACTTTTTGTATTATATCTATGTATTAATGTTTTCTATACATGTTCTACGCATTACTGTCCAAATAAACATTCATTCATTCATTAATGTTATTGCTTAGCGTGGTATATGTTTAATGCTACAGTAAATAGATTTTAAATGTCATCCATGCATGTTTGAGTAATCTAGTGATCTCTCTCGCACTTTTCAAACCCTCCTTATCGTTAGCAGTATGATTCTGTCCAATGCTCAGCCCACAAGCCAACGTCACCCATCCTCCGACACGACAATTTTCTATGAATATACGAGACCAGGATGCAAAACAATATGGGGGATGAATGTTATAGCTCTCTGAAGGGGGAGTGACTTAGCTCAAGGAGCAAAGGAAGGGGATACTAAGGCTATGTTTATATTGATGACGGTCTGAACAGAAGATGCAAAAGTGGCGTCTTCATTTTTTATTCCGCGTTTAGATGTGAGTTTTAGGGAGGAAATATGCGTGCAGACAGTGACGCAAAAGTGTTGAATTCGATTGGGCATGCATGTCAGGTTTCTGTGTATTATATGTATGTGACGTAAACGCGTACGCGACATGAGCACATCTGACCAGAGTTTTGCATCTTGGGCAGTGTAGACGAAAATGCTACGGCAGAGCGTATTCAACTTTTTCCACTCTGGAGGGTGGTTTCAGATTTTTGCATTTTTAAGCCCCAGAAATGCCCTCACCATCTAAAAGAAAGGCACTTCCAATAAAATATTTTGTCGTTTTTACCCGCAAACATTCTCATGTAAACAGGCCCTCAGAGAAACAAAACCAAAACTGAAACTTCTACCCCATAGAAGTGTGATACCCCCTCTTTAAATATTTAGAATACACTTGGTGACTGCAGACATATTTACCTGTTAGTCTGTTGATAACTCTCAATGCTTCATTTCTAGAAAGAGAAAGTTAAATAAAATACATTAACTTTGTAAGTGAATACTGCTAACATAATAGTAGTCCATATATTAGTGTATTTATACCTTTGTGAAGCCGGTACTCCCACAGCGTACACAGACGATATGTCAGCAGGAAACAGAGAATGCACTGAACACAAAACAATCAGACATGAACATTAACACTCATGTACTATTGTTTTAAGATTAAAGCTGCACTGTGTAACTTCTCTGCGGGTTTCTATAGAGATGTTATTGCTTTGCCTGAGATACTGCATGGCGAACAATCAATCACCAATAATAAACATTTTTGTCCTGAGGGCTGCTACTCTCCTCAAACTGACTCTACCTGTTGACTTGTATAAGCTTTCCCATTTTAATAGCCTGATCCATCAGACGGTTTCTATGAAGTGAAACCGTCTCGCAGCGTTAGAATTTGTTCACTCGATGGTAGGTGGGTACTTTTTTATTTAACCAATTACTGCTATTTGGTTGTGACGTAAATAATGCAACGGGGCTAACTGGTATATTAAGCTTTTCCCAAATCCCGTAGAAAGAAGGACAATAATGTCTTTCCCCTTGATAAAATTCACCAATCATTCTCTTTGTTCCGGCTTTAAATCCTTGATCTCGGGAATCGTTGCCAACACAGAATATATGGCTCTTCGCTGATTGGCTGGTGCGCAAACTTGCATTTCCAGGGTTTTTGCGAAACGTCTAGTGTATTCTGATTCCTGACCTAGTTGCTGAAGACAAATGAAATTGAGCGGAGGCACTAGATGGCACCAGCCTGGCTAGTATTTTGCCACTCACTCAGCTTAAATTGTCCCTCTGAGACAAATAAAGTGATATTGATTTCATTGAGCTGAAGTTAGTCTAGTGTTAAAAGGTGGTTGTATGAAACAGTAGACTGCTTTATTTCATTTAAAAGTATAAAATGATAATAGGCCTGCTTAAAAAGTCCTGGTAGTAGTTTTTAGAGAGATGCTCCTGCCGTATTTGTTATTTCAGTGAACATGTTCAGTACAGCTTTTAACATTTAACAGTAAGAAATTGTGTCTATATGTCATAGTATCCTGGACACTATCAGGATATCCCAGTGAGAGTTTGTCACACCGGGGATACTGGCTTGTCCAGGATCCTGAAACCAGGATACTGTGTTTACACGGAAACAAAACCAAGAAAAAAAAAAAAAATCTTAATGTAAATATATAAACACACTCAGTATCCACATCAACACAATAGCTATATTTTTTTTTATTATATCACATTTAGTGCAATACCGAATACGTCATTATTACTTGCCTAGTGCGACCTGCATACCTGACAGTGATGGGGCTAAGGCTGCAGGCTTCGGAGGGCATACGACCGACTGATAATAGTTGGTCTGCAAAAAACAGTCAAACAGAGCAGAGTTTATCAGCACTACGTACTCTACAAAGAATGAAGCTCAGTACACATGGATACCTCTGAGATCTGGGTTTGTCTCTCATGTCTGTGAATGTCAGATGCTCCTGTGGGACACAAAACACATGGATAAAATATACTGTATGTACAAGTATTTTACCTGAACTTACACTTTTTTTTTCAAGCATTCCACTAGAGCTCAAGGTCCAATACCAAGTACAAATTAAAAACATTGCATTTGCAGTAATGCATCCCAGACGGAGGGTAAGCTACTTTGATAAAACAATTAGTTATACATTGCTAGTTCATATGTTGCTTGTTAAAAATGCAATATATTACACTGGTGACTGCCTCATGAAAGTACATTTTGATCACTTTATTTGTAATATAAATGAATGAAATGTGTCCAGACTGCTTCTCTGTGTATGTGAGGTGGTATCTAACAGCAGAATTCCTGTATAAGTTAGATTTCTCAAACGTTCATGCTCCCAGACAGGTGTAAAAATGGAACAAACTTGTAATTCTTACCTGCGAGTTGAGCGCACAGAACCGTTTGCAGTACGAGTATAAGGGCAGCACTGGTGTCCATGATGTCCGGTGAGAGTATGAAACAGTGCGTCTTCTGTCCCGTCTGTCCCCTCGCACAGAGCTGTCGACTGTCCACTGTCTGTAAAGGACACTGCACCTGAGGGAGGCGTGGAGCTCAAAGGCGGGCAAAGTTTTAAACACAGAAAAAAAACAACAACAGAGGGAATATATAGAGTAGGTTTCCCATGGAGACTGTTATTGGAAATCATCAAATCAAACAGCGCGGAAAACCTTAATGCCTGTAGGATGACGTCTCTTTGATCTATATCTCCGAATCAACAGATCAGTAAAAACGCAGGGTTAGTGACATTTATGGCGTAATAAAACCGGTTACTTAAGTCCACACACAAAGCTTTTTCTACTATAGTAAATATGACATAGTTTCATTTTTTTTCACATCTTTGTGACAAATGTCTGTGAAAAGCGAAATATAAATAAAAAACTTATAAAAAACTTACTTACTAAAACTTACTTTTTTCAGCTTTTTCCATGGTCATGAGATACAGGATCGGGAATTTTCAGAACTGTAGAAGCTGTTGTATTGTCCCCTCTTGCTAAAGCTGCACCGTGTAACATTTCTCATGGAGGATCTGTCCAATGAGATATAAATAAGGAACTAGTGAGATCATTGCAATGGTAATTTATAAAAAAGAATGTCCATTTCGATGATTTGAGAGTTGAATTCTGCTCAAAAACTTAGACAAACTAACAGAAAGCTGGACTTTTTTTTATTTGAATTTTCATTTTAATACTTTGATAATACTTGGATTTTTGTATTTATACTTTATCTAATACCAAAAACAAATGTAATAGGCGTGAGGTAAATAGAAAATTATCAATGGTTGTGTCCTCTGCTTTTTATATTATTTTCAATCCAAATTTTGCTCTTGCTTCTCTCAGGAAATGGACGCTAAATTTGCCAAGGCAACAAAACCCACGTTCTATCAAGGCCATTTGGTCCGTCATCTACTTGTCTCCATGTATGTGTTATTACTTTGCCTGGAAAGTTCCACAGTATGGTATTACACTTATCTGTCGCCATGGAGACAAGCAGATGTGTTCATGCTTTAACTCTTCATTTATTAAGGGAAAAAAAGGCTTCTTGTCTGAGCCCCTCTCGCTATAGGCCTAAAAATTAAGACAATAAACAATAATACTGAAACTAATTTATGCCACTGACACAAAAACCCTGAAGTAGAGTTATCCCCCAAAACTATTCTAAAGGTGTAATATTGTTAAACTACACAAACTGCAAAAAAATAAATAAATAAATAAACAGCAGAATGAAACAGTTATTATTAGTTATTTGTCTCTATAATGAGTCATAGAAGTTATTTATTCAACCCTCCACAGCTCAACTCTTTTCGTAGCACAAAAAAGTAACAAAAAGGTCCCCAATAGTACAAAGAAAAAGTACTAATGATAAATACAGATCCAGAAAAACTGCTTTTCCATCTGTCAATTATTGAACGATAATTCGATAGAGTAATTATCGCACAGACCTACCTCTTGCTACTTTGAATTATATGGAATATTCGTGGCCATTGGACTGGAGCTAGATCACGAGCAGTTTGAAGAACACAAACACCAGAGGCTGAATGAATAATAACATGTCTAATACCAAATTGTGGAATATTTTAAGCAAAATCAATAACACAGCAGGCCATCCACCAGAAAAGTTACTTAAGGCACTTTTAATTTGAAAAAAATATATATACATAATTATATACATTTAATTTGTATTATTCTATGTAAACAATGTGAATGTGTCCACACTCCTTTGGCAATGTGGCTCTCATCTGTAAGTGTTCTGTTTAGAAATGTGTTTAAAACTTTGTACAGAATCCTCAATAAATCACAAATACAATCGTAATCACAATGTTTGTTAGAAAAATTACCCTTAGATAATCTGCCAAAAATACACAACTGTATTTTAAATATTACATGGGCCATTTTATGAAGTATCTGCCCACTGTTACCTGATGTCACTTGCCCAGGGACTACACTAAATCTGCTCTGTGCAATTCATTTATTGTGCAGTATCATTGTCAAATAAATAAATAAACAGATAAACAGAGCTCACCAGTCTGGACACCAGACTAAGTTTGGGCTAGACTTGGAGATGCCTCTGGTCCAGTATAATTACATAACTTTACAACATGCAATCATTATTACAATCATGGGGTGATTGGGTCAGATTGTTTACATGACGGCTGATATGTTAATGTCAGATGGACGATTTTATGGCCTTGTCCTTGCTCTGCCCCACAGATAAACTTAACCCTTGGCATCAGGACAGTGTCGGAGCTCGGTCCTGATATAACCCGCAGAAGGCATTGTATCCTTTAACAGATAGGTCAGAGTGGAGATGGTCACCTGATAATGACCTCAGATAAGAGGAGGAGAGCAGTGGGCCCTCGGGCCTCATGTTACTTCAGTGTTTCTCAACCACGATCACCAGGGCTATTGATTATGAAGATGTTTGTGGTGGTAATATTTTTAAAGCAGACCTGTTTTGCAAAATCGAGTTTTCAAGACCATATTGTAAACTAAATGGTAGAAACAATATTGTGGCCATATTTTGGAAGATTTTCAAGACATTAATATTAATAAAACATCATAATATAATGGTAATAATCAACAATGTAAACTGCTTAATTTCAACAAGTTAAGAAGTACTCAGAGAGTAAAGGTTTTTTTTTCTTACTATGTGAGAAGGACTCTCTGAAGCCTGTGGTATCCAGGAAGCCTGTGGTATCCAGGAAGCCTGGCATCATGTCTCATGGCTGTAAAACAATAACAGTAAATATCATGGCATTTTGTACATTACAAGAACACTTTAATAACATTACACACTTACATTGAAAGTAAGATATGTGCCTAGTTAGACGGGCAGATTTTCTTAATTCAGAACTGGGACACAATACTGACACACTCGGGCGGTGTCGGCAATTTACTTAAATGCTCGTTTATTTGTTCTAATTAGCATTAAATGGGTTAATAAGTGAGTATTACACAAATAAATGTGATGCATTCTTTCCAAAAAGGCTTCCAAATGACGTTAAAGAATACCAAATTACTTTTTAAAAGGTGAACAGAGACACAAATAAACACAAACCAACATCTAAAACACAAACACTGCAGTTTCACAGCGGAGCAGACGTGAGTGCGCGCGGTGAGCACGTACGTGACGTAAGCGGATGTTGACGGCGCAGCGCAGATACACAACAGTCTGAGCACAGCTGAGAGGAACAACAAAAAGACACGACGATCACACAGCGAACCACAGGTAACTCTGTGTACGAGCTGCATCAGTGACACTGTTATGTCCGCGTCCTGGGCGTGTGTTGAGTCTGATCAGGGCAGATCCTCGTTTAAACACAAGTGTTTTTGATTCATTTCGCTCCTTTCTTCTCCACAGCCTGACAGTCTTGTTTTACCACTTAGCCCCAGAGCTAGCGCACTGCGGCGCTTTATTCGACGAGTAAACCCCACACGAACAGTCATGTTATACACTAAAAACACGCGTGATCGAACAATAAAGAAGGATCATTGTAGTTACTAATATGTTTAGTCTTAAAGTCAGTGTTTTGGCAAAGGGCTTTAAACGCTTTTAAAGCTCACCTGCCCCCTACTGTCACTCGGTCTCATGACAGGAACAAGAAGTGCTTTTGTAAACTGTTCAGAGAAAATTGTTTAACTTTACTTTATTATCTGTTCCAGTGCATTGTTTTTTGATATGTTAATACCCTCTAGATTAGTGTTGTCATGATACTATAATTTCTAGGATAAAATGTACTATGATCAACATTAAATTATAGTACTTTCTTTTCAATTACCATGTGGTCTAATATCTGTGTAATCACTTAGTCGTCTATGTGGGTTCCATAGTGGCCATGGGATTTGTAAGCAGTTTACTCCTTTCTCTTTTAGAATAATGCCATGTTGTTTCTATCTCCTAGTTTGTTCTGATCAGTCTAACCATGGGTCGGATCTTCTTGGACCACATCGGAGGCACGCGTCTGTTCTCCTGTGCCAACTGTGACACCATCCTGACCAACCGCTCCGAGCTCATCTCCACACGCTTCACCGGGGCTACGGGCAGAGCCTTTCTCTTCAACAAGGTATTACACCACACAGACATAACTTTACATAGGACTGGTGTGGATATGAGGTTTAGATCCCTGCGAACATGTGCTGAAATGTCCCTGTGTGTCAGAAGATTTCACCACCACCAGTACACACCCACTCTCTGTACTTACTGCGTTCTACAACTTAATTTTTTTAAGAGATGATATGTGTAGGATTCAGCAGCGTTGTGTAGTCATTTTGGTTAAAAAATGAAAACAAAATCCCTTGTTTGCCCATGATCTGCAGCATGTGGCTTTTTGTTGATGTCTACGGCAACGTTATCTCCAACTGGGCACCACAGTTTTCTGACACGGAAATCCGCAGACTTGTTTCTTTTATTAAGTTGTTTGAGATAAATATTGTAATTAAAAATGTCCTAGAACATAGAGAAAAATCCTGCGCACTGTTTTATTTGCAAATTGTGAGATTTATTAGGACAAACTGTGCAACATTCTGGCATTCTTTGTTTTTTTTTTGCCTGACGAAGGCCTAGTGCTGAAACATTGCTCGGTTTGTCTTAATAAATCTCACAATTTGCAAGTAAGAAGGTGTGTAGGAATTTTCTCTATGCTCTAGGGCTGCTCCCTCTCCTCCAACACACCCATCTCATGTAATTGATGTGCGAAGTTCTCATTCTTTTATATCGTTGATTTAAAATGTCCAAATTATAGCATAATGATCCACGGGTGTCATAGATTATAACTATAGAGCAGACACAAGCACAATATGTTTTCTTGAATTATTATTATTCTGTTTTATGATCTATGTTATAATGTTGTTTCCTCATCACAAACATACCTGGAGTTGTGTTTTGTTTAACACTGGGGTTTCTAACCTGTATCTCGAGTTCTACCAGTAGCTCTCCATCCTCTTCAAAGCAGCTCACCAAAGGATTTCTGAAATATATGTATTCTGAATAACTAAAACTTGATGAATTAAATACCTGTTATTATTGTATCTATCATTTTGTTGCCTGACTTTGTGCACTCATAAATAAATAATGGTTTATATTGTAGGTCACCCAAGGAAAAAGGTTTAAGACCCCTGTTTTATAGGCATCTAACTGTATCCAAAGGCTTGCCCTCTTTCTTATAATTGTCTCAGTTATTTGCGGCCACTAAAATGATTACGTCTCTGGCATTTTTGTTTTGTAAAGGTAGCTCACTGGAGGAAAAAGGTTGGAGACCCCTGGTTTAACACATAAACCCTACATATTTAGGCAGAATTCTTCTCGCAAACAGACAGATTTTGAGCTTTGGAGATGTAGACAGACAATTAGTAAAAGGTTACTCAGTGTGTGAATGAAACAAAACACAACTCCAGGTCTGTTTTTGAGGAGGTAACAGCATTCTAACATGACTTAAAGCTCACAGGAATCAGTTTTGCGTAACATAGGATCATTAAACATAGACACGTGCTCTGTTGCTTCTTGCGCATCTGTTCGCCCTCTTGTGTCCAGGTGGTGAATCTGCAGTACAGCGAGGTGCAGGACCGCGTGATGCTCACCGGCCGCCACATGGTGCGCGACGTCAGCTGTAAGAACTGCAACAGCAAACTGGGCTGGATCTACGAGTTCGCCACCGAGGATAGCCAGCGCTACAAGGAGGGCCGCGTCATCCTGGAGAGGGCGCTGGTGAGGGAGAGCGAGGGCTTCGAGGAGCACATACCGTCGGATAACTCCTGATTAAACCTGAGCCAGAGATTAACCCTGAGCCCGCCTGCCCCTCACTGTCCTGTAGGGTCGTCAAAAGTATCGAAAATCAGATATTAATCGATGCTTACAGGACAAAAATGAGCCTTTCCTGAATAGCTTTAGAATGATCTTGAGCTGTATCAGAACAAGTATAAGAGCACATAGACTAGTTTACGCCCATGGACCACTGTGGAACCTACCTGGACCACTGAGGGATTACACAGATGTAAGACCACATGGTAACATAAGAGAAAGTACTCAAATTTTATGTTGAAAATCCCATTCTATTGTATTCTCATCATGGTTTTGGAATCGGTATTGTGTATCGAGTTCCTTACACCAGCCTGGGACAGCCTTCAGTAAAAAGGACAAGATGAGGATTAAAAAACTAGAAAAAAAAAATCCATGACTAAAATAATGTCATGATACTTGAATTCTCTTTTCTATTGAGTTGCATATTTATTTGCAACAATACCAGCAATTTTTCCACAATGTAATGATTGTGAAATTGTGAAATTCGACATCCACGTTGTATAGTTGGATTTTTAAAAGATTGGTTTTCACAAGACACATTTAGAGTTTAGAGTCATAGTGACAAAAATCCTCTTCTAGGATCATCTTGGCTCACAAAGTTGCCCTCACCATTTTGTCGATCTCACCCTTAAATTGGAAATAAACACACATAAAGTCATTTTTTTCCCAGCTACTACATCATGTATATGGTGTTTTAATAGCATCACCTACTGGTCCTAGTCTTTTCTTGGCTACTTTAGTGCAAACTGGGTAAATTTGCAGCTTTCTTTTTTAAATTTTGTGTAAATTTTGGCATTTATGATACAAACTGTGAGGTCAGAGTTGCAGTCTATTTACCTGTTAGTAGGGATGCACGAATCCCCTACAGGTATCAGATATCGGTGCTGATTCTGAAACTTTTGCTAGATCAGATATTGGCTTCCAAATATGGGATCTGCAGATATTCTAGTTGGACAATAAGTAATTTGACTATTTACTGATTGTAATTGGCCCAAAAAGTCTCAGCATGTTTTAATTTTTATTGATACAAAGCTATTCTGTGGTTACTTGAGAGATAAATTACACATTTGGATCAATTCTGGGAAATTTTACTTTGTTTTAAAGAAATAAATTCTGTTTTCAGTCTCTGCTCTGGTATCTGTTGATATCGGGCATTGGCAAATGTGTAAAGCTGTAGTATCGAATCAGTATCGGATCTGAAAAAGCTGGATCAGTTCAAAATTATTACACTGTTCGCTGGCACTGCCTAGTTTAGCCGCTCTGTTTAAAACGCATTTACGGGTAGAGTTTAGGTGTTTAGTCTCACTTTAAACATCGTGTGTTTAAAAATCAATCCATTCAAACATCACAGAAAAGATAACATTCAACCAACTGCACTATTTTTTACAAGATATTGTACTTTTAGATATTTACAGGTGCACACAAACGTAGAGATTTAAGTGTGATGCCACTTCCAGGTCCATCAGCTATATTTAAAACAATAAACATTTTTACAATTTCTTCTTTTTTTTAGTGACAACACCTCTCACATTAAAAAAAGATTTCAGTTGTTTAAAATGTATAAAGGTTATAAACGTGGATCTATGGTTATAAATGACAAAAAGTGTACAAGAAGGGAGGTTGAAATAAGAAGCTAGGCTAGGCTAATTAGCAGTGACCAGCAGTTAGAGATATACACACTGGTAATCTTATAGTGTGCTATTTTTACAATTTACAAATTTTTTTGCGACATTATATCTCACTTAAAAAATGATTTCAGTTGCTTAAAACTAGCAAGATTATAAGCATAAATCTATGGTAATAAATCACAGAAAGTGCACAAAGGAAGTTGAAGTAGCTAGGCTAGGCTAGGCTAGGCTAAGCTAACGTTAGTAGTTAGAGAGATATACACACTGCTAATCATATTTTGTGCTAATTTTTACAATTTTCTCTTTTTTTAGGGACATCACATCTCACAGTAAAAAAAATAAATAAATCATTTGTTTAAAACTAGCAAGGTTATAAACACAGATCTATGTTTCTAACTGTGAAATGTATGAGGGAGGTTGAAGTAAGAAGCTAGGCTAGGCTAGGCTAGGCTAAGCTAACCTTAGCAGTGACCAGCAGTTAGAGAAAAATACACACTGGTAAACTTATATTGTGGTAGATTATTACTACATTATTTACATATTTCATAAATTTTTTGGTAAAGTATTTTTGAAAGATAATTAACTGTCTCCTGTTTGCTGAATAAGGAACAAAAACAAAACTAGGAAGGACCTGGAAATGACGTCATTTAACTTTATAGACTGATTTTAGTGACATTTGTGGCTTCACCGTGATTTTTGCTTTGTCGTGCTTCCGTAACGTGTGGTTCTATTGTACAAAGAGGCTCATTCACCACGCGCACTGGTTACTACCTACACTTTAGACTCGTTCAAATCCATCGCACAGAAAGATGTCATTTTGGTGTGAGATGAACAATTTATTTATAATGTCAGGAATTCCAAATATTTAACTGGATCTGGTGCAAATTGTGTTTGAAAATTAGAAAATGAAAACCTTAAGGAGGATAATTTTAGAAGAACAGTTATTTCTAAGTTCAAAATTCTTCTAAAATGTAATCAAATCCAGATTAATATTGTAAATTCTGGCATTTAAGTGTGATTATTGCAGTTATAATATGTAGTATCTTTTGCATTAAAAATGTTATATTTTCGACATGTGCCAATGTTTTGGTTCTCATCGGTATTTTCTGTCATGTGTCTACAATGCCCCAGTATTGATTATTGTTCCCCAAATGATAATACTTAATACTGTTAAGAGGGATATCAATGTGTTATTGATAATTAGAATGCAATAAGCACGGCAGGACTGAGGCTCCTAGCTTTACTAAACCACATATAATTAGCCTTAAAAATAAGTTTGAGCCTGTACTTATGTAATAAGTATTTGGTTCTTATAATCAACATTCTCATTATGTACAATACAATTCAGTCACATGGCATACACTTAAAGCTACACTATGTAACTTTTTGGCCAAAAAATAGACTGGTTGTTTTTATTGCACTGAAAAATATTATGAAACATGCATCTTTACTCTGAGCGGGCTTGCATCTCCACAGACCTGACTTTTATTTGGCCAGGAGGAGGACCTCCTGCTTGTTTCCATGGAAATGTTGTTCTTCTTGCTATAATTTTCCACACTATGGCATTAAAGTTATCCATTTCCATAGAGAATGTTCTTTATGGCTTAACTTTCAGTTTCCATGGAAACATGCAGGTGATGTGCCGCCTCCAGAAAGTTACTTAGTGTACCTTTAAAAACAAAAACAAAAAGGTTTGAATTTAAATTCTGTAGCTGGTGCAAGTTGACTTTGACAATGGGAGAATAACTGATATTTTGCAGTGATGTCAGTCTGGGGGTGTGTGCTACATGTATGTCTATGGTGGAATGTTCAGCCGTGTCCATGTTGACACAATGCACATATTTGCAAACACTGCCAAAACAAAAGAAAAAACACATTAACAACACATTTTCAGGCACCTGTGATCAATTCAAGCGTTCATGGTCCTGTTTAGTTTGATTTTCAACAAAAAAAGTAAGAGACTGAAAAACTGTGGGCTAACGCTAGCTAGCATATTAATAATACACATCAGCTCACCTGTTATAGCTGCAGCTAAATCAGTTCTTTATGGTCACAATTTATTAAAACAAAGCTCAGATTAAAGTCTAACTTGAGTAACAGAGCTTCAGACGGAGCAGTGCCTACAGTTAGCATCACACCCCCAGGGAATGTTGATAACATCAACTCCAATATATCAATGTTTTTTTTTGTTTTTATTTTATTTTTACATTGAAATGAGTGACTTGGTGTTGCTTTAATGATTGTTTTATGTACTATATGCTGTACTGTATCATTGATATTTCTTGAATTGAGTATTTTTCAGAATGTTCTGTTGAGACGCATCTTTGAACATATTTTCTAAATAAATATGAAACTTGACTAAATACTTGACTCATTGATGGAGTAGATTACTGCTTGTAAATTTAATCCAAAATCACAAAATGTATTTATTAGTTACATTATGAGCCTAAAAGCAACAAAAGGTGATTTAAAGATCATATATTATGCTAAATTGACTCTTGTGAGCTTCAAGTCATGATTTAATGTTGTTACCTCCTCAAAAACAAACATGGAGTTGTGTTTTTCATTCACACATGTTTGAGTAATCCTTTATTATTAGTCTGTTTAAAGGTCAAAATGCTCTGTTCCACCTTGTGATGTCATGAAGCGGTAGTTTTCAAGCTTCTTTTAGTTCAGTGGAAGATGTGAAGGTTTTTGTGGAGCACTTCCTGTATTACCACATGACATTATTTTTAGTCTGAGAGAAGAACTTAGTCTAAATATGCAGGGTTTGTGTGTTAAACATGTGTGAATGAAACAAAACACAACTCCACGTCTGTTTGTGATGAGAAAACAGCATTATATCAGATCACAAAATAGTGTAATGTGAGCCCTTTAAATGTAATTCTCCAATAGTAATCAAGCTAATAGTTATGTATGACTGGGACTGTAAAGGCCTAAACATTTTATAACAATTATTTCAATTACAAACATATTTAAACACTGTCACTTGAAGCCTCTAGATGGAGATAGAGCTGCATTTAAATCCACACAGGACTGGCATATGCTCCTTACCTGCAGTAAAGTGGAACTGAACTACAAACTTGGTGAATTTGCAGCTTTGTGTCAAAAACTCTGTCTGTACTTCCAGTGACCCCTGTAGTTTTAAGTACTATGTGACATCACTCAGCACTGTCATGATTACAGACAGAAGTTTCTCATGACTTACCCAGCGTTCGATTATCTTCCTACTCCCATTTGGACCAATGTGAAACAAATAATGAAAAAACAATAAATTACTTTTACTTATGTTTCCAACTTCTCTGTTCCTTTACTTTTCAGAAAAGTCAGAAAATAGAGTCCTGCGGTCACTTCTGTTGTGGCTTTTTGATGTGTTGTGGCTTTTTAACATGTCACGGCATATGCGTTTGTGTTGTGGCGTTTGTATTTGTTGCGGCGTTTGCATTAAAATAGAGTCCCGCGGTCATTTCCTTCGTGGCTTTTTTTGGTTTGTTGTGGCTTTTTGTTGTGTTGTCGCATTTGTATTTGTTGCGGCGTTTGCGTTTGTTGTGACCCCTCTCGGCTTCCGTACATTAGACATTCTCTCACACTGTAAGCTCCCCCTTTGCTTGAGTACACACGGCGACAGTGGATGAAAACAGAGTCGGGTCTCGTCTGTCTGTAACGGCTTTAAAATGTGCATTTGTCATAGGAAAAGTCAAAGGAGTCACAAGAAAGACTCTGGTGCCAGGTTACAGCATGAACTCTCATTTACGACGGTTGGTGGAAATACTGAGAGTTCTGTTTCAACGTACAGTACATAAATAAAGTCCCTGGGTCCCTGTTCCTACTTTGAGCATCGAATGGTGACTGCCAGGAACCACCACCAAGAACTGAAATGTGAAAATGTTACCTAATACCTCACAGGCCTATTGCTGGTGTAATGTAATCTGAGAATGTTTTGTACAGGAATGAACACATACAGACATAAAGCAATATACAGTAAATTCCCGGGTTGTTTTTAAAGACAACAGAGTTCTGAAGACGGCTTAGAGCTGAAAAATGTCAACAAGATAAACGCATCTCCTTCTGTACTGTATTTAAAATGAACCCAAGAAGTTAATGTACAAAAGAAAACAAAATGAGCATTTTTAGATCAGCGGCAGACCCAGTTTCATAATTTGTGTAGTATTTTCATTACTGAGATAAATATTCCTATTTTGTTTGATTTAACTTAACTATTTACTTAAAATGCATAGTTTTTCTGAATGGTTAACATGATTATTTGTTAATTATTTGCTTAAAAATAATTTGATCTATTTTACATTTTTTTTTCAGTTAATTATTGCTACTGTTAATCATAAGTTTACCAAAGTTATTTTCTTTTTTATATTATTTTGTAGGTGCACCATGGGAGTGTGGAGTGGAGCTAAACAGTTTTTTGACCTCCTTTTTGTATGTTTTGTATGTCCTCAGTTATATGTGAATACTCAGTAAAGAGTTTTAACTGCACTTCGATCACTCTTCGTGGATTTATTTCACTTTTGAGGCATTTTAAAATGTGGAACAAGGTGCACAAATCATCCATCTGTGACTACACAAATGTTTGGACCTTATACCAGCCATACAAACCAAACAGCTAATCACAATCAGTCATTTCAACTGCTGTTTTGTTGTTAAGAAAGACAGTTCACCCACATTGCCTAGTGTGTGTGTGTTAGTGGTGGTGGGAGGGGCCGATGGCACAAAGTCGCTTCCATCAGTCTGACCAAGGGCAGCTGTCCAATGGGCTCTATTCATGTTTACCGGAAGACGTTTGGAAACATGCGGCTGACGATTTCCAGTGTAGTTACCAACACTGGACATGTGATAAAACCGTGAATTCAGCAGCAGCAGCAGCAGCGTCTTCACAACCTGCCAAAGCTTGAGGGACAGGACTCTAATCACGTCTTCAGTGTCACTCACAGGCAGCTGGTTGGAACTGTTGATCTGCCAAACATAACGGAACACAACAATGACATCTTTTACGCAAATTAATAAGCAATTTATAAAAGGAAAACAAAAAGAATACAATGACATCAAGATGAAGAAAACCAGGTAATTTTCTCTATTTTCCCAGATTTTGTCAGAGTCAGACACAGCCCAAAGGAAGTCGTCATCCACATGTTTCCAAACATCTTCCAGTTTTGTGTCGTAAGCGTGAATACAGCTCATAGTATATACTGTTGCTTAACACAAATGAGTGTGGAGTGAATGAAAAATGCAATGTAAAGAGCTTTGGGTGTCTTGAAAGGCGCTCTGTATACTGTATAGGCACTGTATTATTGGGTTTAAAGGTCCCATATTACGCAAAATGGATTCTTGTGAGCTTTAAGCCATGTTATAAAGCTGTTACCTCATCAAAAACAGACCTGGGGTTGTGTTTTGTTTGATTAACCCTTTATTATTAGTCTGTCTACATCTCCAATGCTCAAAATGCTCTGTTCCACCTTGTGATGTCATGGTAGTTTTCAAGTTAACGGCTACCTTCAGCAGAGACTGGCAAATCCAGGGCTGAAATGATCCAAATGATTCTAGTGAAGGTGTGTGGAGTTTAAAAACACAGTTGAGCACTTCCTGTATTACCATATGACATCACAAGGTGGAACAGAGAGTTTTTCTGTTTGTTAATTACAACATATGAACTTAATTGCGGTCACAGTCCAGGTTATTTTTAGTGTTCTTCTGTTTAGACCGTTCACACTGACACATTTCACAAAGATGTGCAAAGATAAAAATGACATGTCCCTGTGTACTGTGACTGGAATGGGTGATGTCAGTGTTTTGCCAAGAGACACAACGTCAACATGTGGTCTGGCTGAGATTCTGACTGGTTATACCCTCTGGTTGAAAGGCAGGTGCTATGCCAACTATGACACCCATTATGAATTAATTTGTGGATTCACAGCTTAATAAATAATGTAATAAAGAAAAAAAAAAATATATATACATAACGTCAGTATACGTGTATATGTGCCATAGTTTGAAACTTTTAACACACATGAGAATACAGGTGGAAAACCTTTCAGCTGTTCAATCTGTAAGAAAACATTTAGACGAAAAAAGTAATCTTAAAGTACATATAAGACTACATACAGGTGAAAAAAATATGGCTATCCAGTCTGTGAGAAAATGTTCACCCCAAAAATTCATATTGAAGAACACATGAGAGTACACAGAGGTAAAAAAAAACATTTGGTTGTTCACGCTGCATAAAGTCGTATAGCCAAAAAACACTCTTTGAAGCTCACAAAAGAATGCATACAGGTGTGTAGTGACGATAACATAATAATTGCCAATAATGTAATAACTTTATTGGTTGTTAGAAGGTGAAAAAACATTCAGCTGTTCACTCTGTATGAAATTGTATAGATATAAAAATGCTCTTGAAGCTTACAAGAAAATGCATACAGATGAAAAACATTCAGCTGTTCAATCTGCAAGAAAGCTTTTACTCATTTCTCTAGACTCAAATGTCTTGAGAAAACACACACACGGGAGAATCATACTGCTGTTCAGTTTGTAAGAAAACATTTAGAGAAAGAGGTAATCTTAGTAGACACATGAAAACGCATATGGGTGAAAAACCATTCAGCTGTTTAGTGTATAAAAATAATTTATCCAAAGTTATCCTCATGAAGTACACACGAAAGAAAACTTTTAGCAAAAGGAATAGTCTTGAAGCACACAAAAGTATACAGACAATCGAAAAAAAACATTCAGCTGTTCAACCTGTGAAAAAGCTTTTATTCTTTCTCTGCACTCAAATATCCTGAGAAAACACACAGGCAAGAAACCTTCCAGCTGTTCTATCTGTAAGAAAATGCATAGAAGTAAAAAAAAAACAACAAAAAAACAAAAACAAAAAAAAAAACAATCAGCTGTTCAGTCTGTAAAAAGACGCCAGAAAGCTACACACAACTAAAAACACATTCGGCTTTACAGCTTTGCAACTATTCAGTCTGTCGCGCAGGTTTTACTTCAAACTCTAATCTGCAAAATCATCTGAAATGTCACACAGGAGAGAAACCTTACAGCTGTTCAATCTGTAAACAAACTTTTACTTGTTCTTCTAACCTCAAAATATCACAAGAGAAGAAATGCGTGCAGGAAAACTTACAGCTGTTCAGTATGTAATGCAGGATTTACCTCAAACTTTAAGACAAAAGTTCAAATGGGAAATATGAAGGTACAATTTGCTCTGTGGAGACTGCTCAAGATGAACGAACTACTGTTTTGATTTGTATTTAATTAATTCAAAATAAATTTTAAAAAGACAGCCAGGTTTAAATTCCCTCTTTACAAAACGATTGCAATTTCCTCTGTTCATCATCAGCAGAAATTG